ACTGTATGTTTTGACTTTTGTAGCTGTCATCAGCAGTTGTCACTAAACTTGTAAGGAGATGGTTTAAATAAAGGCAGCTGTTCAGTCACCCAAGGAAATAGTAGCGATGGGGCTTAGTCATAAAGTATTTGAAAGTACGTGGAGTATAGAATAAGCATGGATGTTTCCTTTGGGGTTATGGGATTTGTTTGTTTTAGATTTCATTCAAGATTTTGGCTGTAATTTCTTCAAGTGGTAATTAAAACAGCCAAGTGCTTTGCTTTAATAACAAAGCAGACTTGAACTTGAAATTGCTAGAAGACAGTTTTTTAAGATTGGTTTAGGATATCCATTGTTAAATCAGGCTTGTGTGGTCACCTAAACATTATGAAGGTTGTAATTGTAATTTTCTTTCTTTTCTCCTGTCCCCCACCTCACCCTTTCAGGTAACACATGTTGAACCATGGGAAAAGGGCAGCAGAAAAACAGCAGGCCAGACAGGGATGTGTGGAGGGGTAAGTAGAAGTACGTGCCTTCTTAAATTTTTCTGTCTGGTAAATAACTTTTCAAAGCATAGATAAAATATGCTTGTATGTTGGCTCAATCTCTAGATATAAAATATTTATTACAAAGAGCAGATACATTCTTCTCACTTCCAAAGCTGTGGATGTCAGTAGTGTTACTTTTTCCACATAGCTTTGTTTGTAGATTTAGGCTTTATGCTGTGCTAGTTCTCGTATTCTTTTGTAGGTTTGGTATAATGTCTTTGTGACTTCCTGCATCCTCACCTAACTTTTTGCTTTTGAAAGGTGCGTGGTGTTGGAACTGGAGGAATTGTGTCTACTGCTTTTTGTCTGCTCTACAAATTATTTACACTGAAGCTCACTCGTAAACAAGTGATGGGCCTTATCACTCATACAGACTCCCCATATATTAGGGCTCTTGGATTTATGTATATTAGGTAAGTATCGATATCATCAACTAATGACTGATCTAATATGCAGAAAGCTGTATTAAAATTTTATATTGTTTTTGTGCTTAAAGGTACACACAGCCACCTACAGATCTATGGGACTGGTTTGAATCCTTTCTTGATGATGAAGAGGTATGTCGGCGAGGGTAATAATTTATTTTCTTTTGTTTCTTTTCATGTTACTACTTTAGGCTTAAACATTGCTTGAGAGGGTTTTCTGTAGTTTGAATGTTACAGTGTTATGTTCTTGTTTACATTATGTATGCTAATTAGTGCAGGAAACAGGTTTGAGCTGGGACCTGGGTAATTTCTCTTAGATTTTGAAGATCTAACAGATTTTTTCATTGGTTAAGATGCTACTGTGTCAGATTTGCAAAACCATGTGAAACAGGTGTGCTGAATCAGAATGCAGACAGGAGGCTGTGTGAATGTGTCTTCTGTGTGTTTTTTAAAATCATAGTTACTTTTAGGTAAGGTGTAGTAAGTCATGCAAGTGCTAAATTTGTATTATCTCTTTATTACTGGAATAGGGGAGTTGATGCTTACATAAAAGAGTGGGAACTGTATGGTAGAAACCAACATTGACCTTGGAAAATTCTGCCAGAAATATCTGTGGTTATTATTCATGTCCTGGAACAACTAAACCCAGGATTTCTTCAGAGGAGAAGCAAAAAGCCTGATTACTGCATAAGGTGGCTTTATTTCTGGAATCTTAATGTATTTGTTAATGGGGCAGATGAAGAGATGAATTGCTAACTGAAGAAATTCAATAAAGAGGTTGCATTATTATTCAGTCAGATAGGAGAATACCTTTGGTATCCTAGTCCTGATTTACTGTTTGGAGAAACAGTAGGGAGCTGGTGGGTGAGGTTTCTTGGGTTATAAAGTTGAGTACGCAGTCTGCTACATACTGCAGCAATTAAGATTTATTGAGCAGGTTTGAAATTACATTCTAAATTTAAGACTAGAACAGGAAGGATCACTTGCCATCTTCAGTGTGACAGTAGGCATTTACTTGAAGAAATTTCAAATGTTGTAGTTGCAAATTATGTCCAAATCCTGGTATTAAAACCAGTGTTAATTACACCTTTGTCTAACTGCAATGCAGTGTATTTATTCTAAACGGCTTCTTTCATGCTAAGTATCAAAATCACTGAGCAAAGGAAACACCTGGTGATTTTAGGTAAACCCGTGCTATAGTAGATTTTTAACAAAAATAAAACCAAATTGGACTTGAATAATGTAATGTCATTCTCCCCCAGCTGGGGCTAGCTAATATGAATTCTTCTCCACAAGGTTGGACTGTAATTTATGAGAAGCGTTGGGGTGGCTTCATTCTCAGGGTCCCACAGAGTCAATTTCAAGGACAGTAAAGCTGTCACAAGTACAATGCATTGTGCAGGTCTTAACTGCTTCATTATTCAAAGCATATTTTTTAGTTTATACATTTCAGTTCCTGCTGATACTGGGTGTCAAGATGTGTTTATTTCTTGTTGCTTAAAATCTCCTACTGTACTTTCAGAATTAGTGTTTCTTTCTCTGCTGCTATCAGTAGCTTTCTGTTATGTAGAAAACCTGCTTGGGGCTGCTTAAGTTTCTTACCAGTCCTGGTCAAACTCAGTAGGATGAAGCAAATTTTTATATATGGAATTATTTAAACCTACAGGATTTTTTTTCCCCTCCAGTTCTTAAAATCTGGAAGCAGTTCATCTTTTGTCATGCTGCTGTGAAAACCTTCCCAGGACACAGTTACTTTTCAGAATGCTTCTTATGTTTATTTTGTTTAACTGTACGTACTCTCCAGGTGCTACGTTTAACTCCTCTTTTTCTTCTTTAGATCTCTGCAGCGATTATATTTGGAAAAACTGTATATCTGAACACTTAAATGTGTGTGAGTGCAAGCAGTTTTACGTTCAGATTTTCTCTTCCTGTTTAGATAACAAATCTCACTTTCCTTGTGTGCTTGCACTATAGGTTTGGGACTGACAATAGCTGACTAACATGTCCTGAGCTGTGAGAGGGCATAGCAAGAAGGCCTTCATGCGGTAATGACCCTTTTCAGAGACAATGGTCATCATGGATTATGCGTTTCCAATTATTTGTTCATTTATTTATTTTTTTACATATTTCTAAATTAGAAACCTCACTGCTTCATGGCAGTTGGTTTGCTATTGCTTCCAATTCTGTTAGGATGCCATTTTGTACTAGAGGTCTTTCTATGATCATTTTTAGATAGGCAATGATGTAGTTCATAAATGATTTAGGCCACAGGGTTGGGTATGATGGTACACAGTTGTATATCCACAAAATGGAGTATTAAATGTAGTTTCAGAGGACTTCTCAAGTTTGTGGCATTAAAATACAATGCAAGATCATACCATATAACCAGACTGTGTAAGGGGATTTTGTGTTAATCTCTTCATCGACAGTCCCTTACCATCCAGATGGCTGCAGGATTACTATGTGCCTGCATGCATATATATTAAGTCCCATTCCCTGTCTGTAACATTCTGCCAAATCCAAAGGGTGCAGAGTTTGAATTTCTCTAAGGAAATGTATTAGAATATGAAACAAGTAAACTTTCATAATCATGAGACTTCAATAGGACAGTAATGTAGCAGCATTTTTTTTTAATCACTAAAGAATATTTTTGACCATCAGGATATTTTTTGCTTGTATTTTGCAGGACCTGGATGTGAAGGCAGGTGGGGGTTGCGTTATGACCATAGGGGAGATGCTTCGTTCCTTCCTCACTAAGCTTGAATGGTTTTCCACGTTGTTTCCAAGAATTCCTGTGCCAGTCCAGAAAGCCATTGACCAGCAAATTAAAAGCAGACCTAGAAAAATCAAGAAAGATGGCAAGGAGGGGATGGAAGAAATAGACCGGCATGCAGAACGTAGACGTTCAAGGTCACATAAGCATTATTTTAAAAATTAGTGTTAAAAGTTCAATATTGAGCTACTTATTACCAGCAATATGATGTCTTTTCACTAAAATAGGTTTTAAGGCAACAGTTTATGGATGCTGGTGGATTAAAATAATCAGATGGTGTTTTGTATTTAAGATTAAGTACAAGCTCTGTCTGTAAAGTATAAATTGGAAAGAGGATTTCTTAACTATTGAAGGAGGTGTTTCATATATAATGTCTTCTATTTTAAAAGGTCTCCAAGACCAAGATCCATCAGTCCCAGGAGGTCTCCCAGAAGATCCAGAAGCAGAAGTCACCATCGGGAAGGCCATGGATCATCTAGTTTTGATAGAGAACTAGAAAGAGAACGAGAACGGCAGAGATTAGAACGTGAAGCAAAGGAGAGAGAAAAAGAAAGGCGGAGATCCCGAAGTACCGATCGCTCACTAGAACGGAGGCGAAGCAGAAGCAGGGACAGATACAGAAGCCGGAGTCGAAGTCGTGACAGGAAAGGAGATAGAAGAGACAGGGACAGGGAGCGAGAGAAAGAAAATGAGCGGAGTCGGAAAAAAGAGAGAGATTATGACAAAGAAAGAGGTAGTGAGAGGGAAAAAGATCGATCTAGAGAAAGGTCAAAAGAAAGGAAAAGTAAGGGTGACACAGAGGAGAGGAGACACAAGGATGACAAAGATGAGAAGAAACACCGCGATGACAAGAGGGATTCCAAAAAAGAGAGAAAGCATAGTAGAAGTCGAAGCCGGGAAAGAAAGCATAGGAGTAGGAGCCGAAGCAGGAACACAGGTAAGCGCAGCAGAAGCAGGAGCAAAGAAAAATCAAGTAAACATAAAAATGAAAATAAGGAGAAGTCAAATAAAAGAAGCAGAAGCAGAAGCCGAGGAAGAACAGATAGTGTTGAGAAGTCCAGAAAACGAGATCAGAGTCCCAGCAAAGAAAAATCTAGGAAGCGTAGCAGAAGCAAAGAACGATCCCACAAACATGATCACAGTGATAGCAAGGACCATTCTGACAAACACGATCGTCGAAGGAGCCAAAGTACAGAACGAGAGAGCCAAGAAAAGCAACAGAAAAACAAAGATGAGACTGTGTGAATTCTTTCAAAAGTGGATCACATTGAATCCTATAAATGTTTGATTAAATCCTGCTTATTTTTTCTTAAAGTTGAGATTGTGCAGTAGTTGATGAGCACTCTTCTCCAACCTCCCTCTAGGCTGCAGATTGTCATTTCCTATTTTCGGTAGGGAAGTGCCTTTGTAAACCCATTCAATGCATTGACGGTTTCAAACCATTTGTTTAGTTTAATTTGTAATGCCGAGATTGTTCTTGCATTTTTATTGTTCAGATGTTTCTGAAATGTACAGTCTGTACATATGTCCTGAAAATGTTTTAATTCCTTTGGCATGGTTGCCATGTTGGTTAAATTTGTATGAGGCAATAAACTGCCACTAATTATACTTTCCTTTTGTAGACGTGGAATTATGGTTTGTATCCTGAAGTTAGCATGGCTGTGCTTTCCATAATGGTATGGCTTTTAGGGATGGATCTGGAATGTGTATTATAGCTGAGATATTTATGTGCGTACAATGTACATTGAGGGCTGCAGATTTAGAACTAACATTTATGCCCACTGTATCTGCTGTTTTGTCCAAAGCTTTTAAAATGTATTATGTTGATCACCAGTGGTGTTAAATTGAGTGGACTTTCAGAGATAGTGGTTTTGATGCAAGGATTTAGATTATGTTGGGGCTTGTTTAGTTCTGTAGAAAGGCTACCTCAAGCGGACACTGTAAAGGTTGACGGATGAGTACCGTAGCCATCTATGCATTTTATTTGTTTGAAGAAAATCCATGTAAGCTTCCTTTTTTTAAAAAAAACAGTTTATCCATTTGTGGTCCTTTAATGTTTTTAAGCAGCTGCACTCTGTCATTTATGATAATCCTGGGCTAATAAAGGCATTTAAGATGGGAAGAGGGAGGTAGGAAGAAGAAAAATATCACAAAGGATTTCAGTTTCAAGCTTCCAAAGCATTTTATAAGTGTAAACATTTAAAATGAGAATTAACTGATAGTGTCCTTTTTTAATTCATATTTTCTACAAATAGTAAAGATCACAGTTTGTGCTGAACATTTCATCTGGCAGATTTTTTTTTAAACAGGTTGTTAGACGGAAAAACCAAAATGCATTATAGAAAAAGATCATATCATTAAAGTCCAAATCTATTTCATAGATTATTCTGATGACTTGTATACTCAGTGAGGAGAACCACCTGGAATAAACTCTCGATTAATTCCTTTGTATTGAGTGTCAGCTTTTCCCTGCATGTTCATGGCCAGTTAAAGGGTGCTTCAGTTCCTCCACGTTTTATTTTCAGATCAAGTGATACTTTGGATGAATAAGGGATTTTATGTAATAAGTGACTTAGAACAAACATGTAGCAGACAAAAGAAATGCTGCAGCCCCAAGAGAGGAAGAATATGAAGTGGGAATCAATCATGAAGTAACCTGAGGGTAGAAATACAATATTTGTGCCTTTTTTGCTTCTGTGTGATGCAGGTCATCTAGGCATATTTAGTTTTAAACATCCAGGGAAAACAGAGTTTTGACTTCCAACAGTATACTTCATTCCATAGTATTCCAAGAAGCAAACTTTTTTTCTTCCTTCCTTCTCTTCCTGTTTTCTGAACTGTAATGGTCTTTATCACCATGATCCTTAGTAATCAACATTTTTCAGTACTGACGTTAGGGTTGTCTGCTTATATTTGTGTTACCTGATTTTAAGTCTGAACTTGAAACAAAACTTAAGCTTCAACAAATTCATTCCCTTGCAGTGTAAAACTAAAATACTGAGCTTTCATTTAAGATTGGAGAAGAAAAAAATACCCTGTCTAGTAGATAACTAGAACTGTCTCTGCAGTCTGCCAAGGGATTGCATGGATTCTGTCCAGTGAGGGCAACTTTAATTTATCTTGTTTGTGTCTAGAGGGCTTCTTTTGGCCTTGTTTTTAACCTTCAATTTCTGAAACAAATGTGTTCTTGGCCAGAGAGGCTGCAGAACCAGTGTTTTGTCAGGGAAAATGGATTACTGATTTCCAGTTGTTCCTTCAGGGCTCTTCCTGTTCTGAGACTGTTGGGCAGTACAGTGAAAGAATGGTTTATTTGCAGGAAAAAATGCAGGTATTTGAGAGACAATCTTTGACCTGAACGTGGACAAGTACTGTCTCACTACAACAAAGATGGTGAATATTTTGCTACAGCTTGTGCAAAGACTGGCTCATCCCAGTATCACTTTACAAGTGCAGTAATTTCAGGACTGTGCTTTTATTTTCCTGTTTTATAAGTAGTTCTTTTTGACCTCTGAATTCAGTACGATCGATTGAGTTAGCAGTGTAATGGACAGCGCAATATTCCCTGGCACCCACGACCTGTGACAATTCTTGAATCAAGACACCTGTCTAAAGTTATCCTTAGGATTTACTGTCATACAGCTCTTCAGTTTGTATCCAGGGTCTCTTAATTCCTTTTTGTCTTTCTGATGCCATTTTATTATTTCATGTGCCCTTCCTTAAAAAGCAGAAGGAACTGTAGGGCTGTGAAAGCAGTGCTGATGAGCAGGGGTGAGCTAGTGGAGGCGCCAGTGCTGCCCAATCTGTGCAGTTGTTGCAGTGCAGTACAGGTGCACTGGACATTCATCTCAGGGGCATTAGAAGAAAATTTCTGCCAATTTTAGCTGGAGGAGCTGTGGTTGCAGAGCTGTTGTCTCTCAGTCTGTGCACTCACTCTTCAGTTCTCAGGGTAAATGACCATGACCGAAGCACTATGAGCCCCAAGTTTCCATAGTATGCCATGTGTCCATAATAGCCTAGGATTGTTATCTTTGTGAAGCCTCATCTGGCTTGGAAATTTCCTGTGGCTCCAATGCTAAGTACTGGAATATAATATTAGTAGCCTCATACAGCATACAAGTTCCCCTCTTTAGGGGAACCTGAAGGAATTTGATGAATTCTGCTGGCTTTAGATGTTTGAACCCTTTGCCCCATTGTGCAGCGCGTGTAGCTTTAAGTATGGATGACCACCAGCTATTAAGCAGGGTAAAACAGCATTTAAGTGCCACTTTTGATGTTTTGCAATGAGGTTGTCATTGTATCTCTTTTACTCTTCACCAGCAGTAGTTAGATGTGGTAGAACACTAAATCTCAGTAAATTTGGGTTGAGTCTGAAATCAGCTGAAGGGTAGATTTTTTGCAAGTTCTTTCACTGGATTGAAATCTGAGTTTGGAGCTATTATTCTGTGTCAGATGAAATTTAAAACAGTGTGTATTTTATATATACAAATTTTTTTGCAAGTGTTCATATTTGTGTAATTCCAACTAAATACATCTTTACTATTATGCATTGAATTTAAATTTTTTATTAAGTAAGCATTAATGAAGTAATCTTCTATGAAATAACCTAGGTGGTTTTAATCACCTAATTTGTTAGTGCACATGATTTCACAGATACTGCTCTGAAAGCATTTTAGCATATCCATATGCTGCCTACCTCCAAGCCTGCAACAGTAATTTTCTTGTTCTCTAGTCTTCTTTCAAGAGACAGTGGGGTTGGGTAGTTTGGGGTTTTTTGGTAGGATTGTTGTTGTTTGTTCAGTTGAGAATTTTATTGCTTGGGGTTTTTTTTGCTTCATGAAGTCCAGAGCTTCATGTGAGTAAATAGTACAGAAACAGCATCTACAAAAATGTGACATGTAATTGTCCTTTCTTGGATCTGAAGCCAGCATGACCCATAAAAGTGTGTTTACCTCAGTCTGGAGAGAACCTGTAACCAATCCTGACCAAATTTTTTAATCAGCTCAGTGAACTCCAGTGCTGTTTCACCTATCAGCAGTGTTTATTAGACAGTTGTTACTAGACAATGTCAAATGCCTGAATAACAACACCTTGAGGTTACACACTGCCGTAGTAGGAGGTGTGTATGTGGCTCAGTTTCATTGTGTTGCTTTTCCTCCCTGTTTTGCTAATTTTGTACATCTTCTACACTTTTTTTAGAGCTGAATCAATCAATGTGTTTTTTTCTTGAAATCATGAGTCCTCTTAAGCTTTTTGGGTTTTTTTTTTCCAACAGACATAAAAATAATACATTCTGATACAATTACACTTCAGTGACAAAAGAGAGGAGCAGATGAAGATAGTACTACAACTTAACTGCTAAAGTACTGCTACAACAATTGTTGGTTGTAGTGTGTAATTGAGGTGTTAATTAATTCTCAGGGAAAATTAAGAAAACATACACCAACAGTTTAGAATGGCTTTAAGTACATTATAGTATTAGAGCATGGAATTATCAGAGTTGCTAAGGTGAAAAAAAGTAGCTCAGGGCTTGAATTTGGTTCCAAAAGAAACCAATTGCTTTAGATCTCTAAAAACCCAGGTAAACACTTGACACTGTGGTGACAGTGTTTGGCAATGATGTCTGCAAAGAAGAAATACATGGAACCCTCAAGAAAGAAGGCTGTTTAATTTTTTTTATTAAGTGAGAAATAAAACCAACTTTCTATTAACTAATGCAGAGCAGTTTTAAATAATGTTTCCCAAAGAAATACTTGTTTGATCATGACTAAATGCAGATCATGTTTTAAGAAGCAGCATACAATTCTTGGGCCATCTACAAGCAACTTACTGAAGCTGAGATTCCCTTGAGATTTTGCACAAGTGATCAGAACCATTGGCTGAGATACTTAACATGTGTTCCCTGAAGAAAGAAAATTTCCAGAATGGATAGTATCTGTTTCTATAAGCTGAAAATAGTGCTAGAAACCTTCTTGTCTTTGGATACCTTTGTACACATGAGCTTCCAAAGACTCTGTTAAATACAGACACGTGTGTGTAGAACCATTGACTTTAAACTTTGCTTTCAAAGTCGACTGAAAAAGTGACCACTGTGGAGTATGAGAGAAGGTCCTGCCTGGATTAGGTCTCAGATAGGGCTGGGTGTTCAGCTTTCCTGCTCCCAGTCCTCAGGCAGCTGTGAATGTTGCACTTAAGCACAGATGTGTCTTTCCAGCTTCAGGGCAAGAGAGACTGAAAATAACATTTAGGGAGAATGGTGCTATGAACAATCTTAACATCCACCTTCCCCTAAGGTTGATCTTTTTGCTGCTGTTCACCTACAGGATAGCAGTAGGTGAACAGCAGCAAAAAGGAGATCAAACTTAGGGGAAAAATAAACAGCAATTTCTTGTCATTCCTCTGAGACAGGAGCAGAAAGTAGTCCAAAACACCAGGAGAAAGTAAATGAGTGCTGAAGAATATTTTTATCTGTTTGGATTTAAGGGCTTTTCTGGGGAATTACAGCATAGTGAAGTGAAGGCTTAATGAAGTGAAAGAAGGTTGTTAAAAATGGAGGAGAGGACAAATCAGTAGTGTTAGTAGAAATAAATGACAAGAGATTTCAGAGGTAAATATGATGGATTTTAACAAACCACTTGTGATATACAGGACTGGTGAAGCATTTCCCTCCAATCCCAAAGATTTAATCAGCAGGAAAAGTTGGATTCATACATTCTAATATGAATTGTGATTCTTATAACTTACCTCCTTATCTGAACCAGAATTTCATCTAGATGTGTTTTGCATTGCTCTTTCCTCTATAAATAACTATAAAAGAATTTGGAAATTAAGACAATTCCAGTTATGGAAAAGTAACTGTCTTGAGAAAGTTTTATTTCAGTGGCTGCTTTTGAAGTTGTTTCTAGCAGTTTACATAGGCAAATAAAATACTATCCTGTGAAACCCAGAAGAAATAAGGTAGAATAGATTGAGGTAAGCCACCTTATTTTTTTTACCTTTTTGAAAATAGAAAGCAGAAGTGCCACCTAGTTTCATTTGTAATGGGATGTGGGAACGCTACAAAAGATAATCCTACCTTTTATTGTGTGCTATCAAATTAGTAGTAAGTGTTGTGACCTTGCATGATAGTATGCAGGCCACAATATAGGTAAGGTTTTGTTTGTTTTTCTTCAAATTATACATTAGAAAATGGGATGAGATAAACCTTTATAACACTACCAGAAGCCTTGACCATCAAGTCTGTGTTATATACATCTTATATGAAGATGATGCAAAAATATTCTATGAACTTTATGAATTTTTAATGAATGTACTGCTCTTACCCATTCCAACAGAGCTTCCAGAACAGGTGACTGAAATGACATGAAACAGTAGTACAAGTATTAGATGTCAGGTTGTAAGCTGCAAAATATTATTAGTCTACAGTATGTAGTCCATCTATACTACTATGCAACCCCATCAGATAGCAGTAGTTTTATAATGGATTAAATCCATGCCTTGGGAAAGGCAAAATAATTTCTTCCCCTTTAAAATTTTTTACTTTAAAAAATGTGATTAGGAGGGATTCATTGCAGTTATTGATTTGTTTCTTTATTTAAAAAATACATAAAACAAAATGCTAATTTATTTGCTTCTGTATTCTAACCATTCCTAACCTCCCAACTGAACATTAAGTTTTCTATATTCACCAGGATATGGGTGATCCAGTTAGGAGGTACCTGTGCAGATAAGTGTGCCCAGAGCCAAAATGCTGCTGTGAAATTCCCGTCACAGATACTGCAAGACTGCACTCATAAAGTTTACTCTGCAGTCAACACTAGAGCAGAAAAGGTTTATTCCATGCCACCTTTACCTGCATAACTTTGGATTACATTGTGGCCATCTAGCATTAAAAAAAATAAATTAAAAAATCAAAGAAATTCAAATTCTACCTGAATATATTTTCTTAGGACACAATGTGAGCCTTGGCCTTTTGTTGGTCACTGGAGCCACCAGCACAGTGTAGACATCCCCACAGGGTATCTTGGTGATATCACAGTGACTGAGACCCGAGCTGGGGGTACAGCTGAAGTTGCCCTTTGAGCCACGTAAATCAGCATTGTAGTTTATGGTTTCATCAGAAGCTCGCCAGAACACCCTGATGCCATTGTTGCTGAGTCTATAGAGCTTCACCCCAGAAGGGCAGCAAGCACCTAAGAAAGTAAAAAACATTAATGAGCAAATTTTGTGAACTCACAATGTATTATAAATTTCTAGACTGCAGTTTAAACCAGATTACTATGATTACCAGCATTTCAAAGAGAAAATTATTCTTTCACAAAGCCAAAATAATTCTTTAACTGAACTAGGAGAGAAAAGTTTTATTTAGAGTTGTTTTATGGAGCTTTACGTACTGGAAGAATATCCCTGATAGGTGCAGCTGGATGTCAAACCCGTCTCACTGATGGCTCTCAGGGACACTGTGTAGTTGGTGCCACATGTGATACATCCCAGGAGACAGTAGGTCTGAAGTGTGTGACACTTTGCCTGTCCTTTTGGAGACTCTAGTGTTGTTACATATGTCTGTGCACCTCTCCCAACAGACCAGCTGATGTTGGTTACTGACTGTGTCACTTGAGTTAGTACCAGGTCATTAGGGCAACAAGGAGCTAAAGAGAACAAAAGAGAGAAGTTAATTCTGTTTTGTACCTGGAAAATGGAAGGTGTTTGGAGGGTTGCATGTAGAATAGTACATGATCAAGATTAAAGGAATAAAGAAGTGCATATTTTTCAGGCATGCTGAAAAATAGTTGACTCTGCTGGCAAGACTCTAATAAACAGAATATTAATGTAGGATCAATTTGTCTCTAACTATGGGTTAGAACCCTGGAATTATTATAAAATGATTGTTCACCAAGATTCTAAAAATTACTAAGATTTTTCATCAGAATATCAGAGTACATCTGTAGTTTAATTAAGTGGGGTCTGTCTCTACCCCTCAAGTCATATATCTCAGTCCAGCTCTGTCTGTGTCTCTGCTTGAAGTCTCTTCCTCTACAATGTAAAATGACTGCAGCCAAACTGCATGTTAAAAATAGATCCTGGTGTATATTAATCTCTGCCTGGAGAGGTGGTAGAGGACAAAACCTGTTAACAAATTAATAGCAGGAATAGTGGCTAGGATGTTCTTTAATCTGTTCTTTACAACTGCTTATTTGTTGACATGGACATTACCTCATTGCCTCTCCTGGTGGTACTAAATATCAAAATGCTGACAAGGAAGTTATGCATTGCATTAGTGGCTTATGTTATTACATTTTAGTTAGCTGTGCCAGAAGATAATTGGTAGCACTAAGGCCTCTCAGTCTGAGGCAAGTGCCAAATGACCCTTCCTTGTTACACACAAAGACACAGACAGGTTTGCAAAAAGGACATCCAGCAATACATAGTACAATGTGCATATATTGTAAATAAAAAATAGCCAAAACCATAGAGTCAGGGAACTATTTTAATATTATGCTGCTAAGTATGTTGAACTATATACAATTCCCCATACCTGTCTCTAAAGGGATACTGTAGCTTGGTAAGCTCTGTCCTGCTGGTGATCTTGCTATAGCACTTACAGAGAAAGCAGATCCACAGGGAAGATCCATTAGGGTACAGGAATTCCTGGTGCTTGAGCAATGCCAAAGTCCCGCCTCTCCTCTGGCAGTGACAACGTACATAGCTTCTTCATTGTTAGGTTGCCACTGCACACTGATTACAGATACACCCTCCTTTGAGATATTTTTAATTTCAGGACTGCAGGGAGCTGAAATATTTAATATTAATAGTATTTAAACAGATTATTCATGCATACTATATAAGTTACATGTGAAAATTAAATTCCAGTTAGAATTGACAAATTACTTCAGGAAAGCATATGATCTTTATATGCTTTACTCCTGGTGAGAATTTAGAAGTTTTGACAGAACAGACAATGTAAGTATTTTGTGTATAAATTGTAATTCTGATCTTCAAAATACTGGAGCTATCAGAAGCTTTCAATACAAATTCCCCTTCTTATAGTGTATTCTTAAGGATTTTCAGTTTTGGAGTTGCTGTTTTTTTGGGTTTTTAAAATATTTTTATCAGTGAACTTAATAAAACAGTCAAACAGCAATTTAGCTCTCCAGTAACGTTTTTAATGCACGAATCACTGTGCTGTATAATGATGATTTCTTCAGCTAAAGCAGAAGTACCTGTTGCCACGTAGTGAGGCGCGCACGAGGCGCTGCTGCCGCGGGCCTCGCTGAAGGAGTGGACGGTGATGTTGTAGCGGGTGCTGCACTGCAGAGCCGACAGGCTGCAGGCCGTGGCCGTGTCCCTGCAGAGCACCACGCCGCTGCCGCCAGCCGCCCGGGTCTCGTACAGGTCCGCGCCTCGCACGGGAGCCCAGGTGACCCGCACCGTGTCGCTTGACACGAACACGGCCCTGAAGTCACTTGGGCAGCAAGGAGCTGCGTACGAAAAGGCAGACAGGGAAACCCGAATGGGAGTGGAAAACCGGTGCAAATAAAAAAAAACTTTGTTTCATTTATCTGTGTGCTTCATGTCTTCTCCAAGGTTGACCAGTACTGTGCAAACAGTCTAATGAATCCCAGGTTTACTCAAATTAATTGAGTACCACTCCTTCCAAATCGATAGAGGACATACTAGTGTTTAGGTCAGACACAGGAATTATGCATACCCTTGGTTTAAAATTTTAAAGGTCTAGAGATTAAATAACAATGTTCTTTTCAACATTGAACTTACTATTTTTTTCATTTTCCAAGTATGAAAACTCCCTATGAGGAAGACTTTGGTACACTCTTCCTGAGGTAAAACAAAAAAAAAACCCCAAAACCCAGACAGGACTAGAGTTCCAATGTTATGCCAGGTCTGTGTGTTATTCATATGTCCTTGCCTGATGATTGTGAATTGTTAAACCATTTTCAAGTTTGTATGCATGTTGTTGCACTTGACTATGCAAGTTAATTGCAATGTGAACTGTTTCTTTTTCTCTGCCAACCTTTGTGTGTTATGCTCAAAACCTGAATAAAAATAGAAGTTCAAGTCGTTATCTTCCCATGAAAATGTCCAAACAGCTCAACCATAAATACAGTTAAAGGATCCAAATGAATTTCCAGGAATACATGGCTGCTTACCAGTAGTGTAATTGAGTACATCACCTAAAGGGCTCTGTCCTGCCTTGTTATATGCAAAGACACTGATGAAATAAGTGAAACCACAGTCCGACTGGAAATGGCATTGAGTATGTGATGTGTTGCAGTGCACTTCCAAGCCATCATCACTCTTCACAAAAACCACGTAATAATGACCCAAACTGACGCTAGACCATGATACCAGCAAGTGACCAGGTTCATCCTCCTCAATTGATATGTTTACTGGTGCACAAGGAACTGAAAAAAACATTCAAAAAAAAGAAAAAATTCTCAATACCATTCTTTTTTTCTTTCTTGAAGTTATACTCTTGGGGAATAAAGGAAAATCAGAGATATATTGAATTATATAGAACATAGAATTACTCTACTCATCTTGAACGGTTGCTCTGTCTTCATCAAGAAAGCAGCAACTTAGCTGCCTTTACAGGGGTTGGTGCCTATATTTAAATGACAAGAGGGTATGATTTTTACAGAACAAAATAGATGCTACATCATGTTTTAGAGACATCTGATTAAGGAGCCCTCTGAACAAAAAGTGACACCAGGCATTAAGTCAAAAGGAAATGGCACAGTGTGTGCTCACAAATAGTAGGTTTGGATGATAACTGGAATACTAGCATGAATAGCAGCTGGCATCCAAAAGCCTCTATGTGTGAAAACCATTTATATTTTTTTTATAAAATTTACTGGCTGTGGCTGAGTAGAACTGTCCTTTGCTTAGGTTTCCTTTCTGTTGGCATTCCAAAATGCCACATTAAACTGCAAACTCCATGGCTCTTGTTTAAATAACATTTACTTTCTTTCTAGTTCAGTGCAGCTTGCTGCTCTTAGAATGAATATATGTGATCTAGCTGAAGCAGTGTTGGCTGAGATTACAGCCCACAGCTTAATAGCTGTCTCTGGCATAAGGCTCTCTCATCCTGTTAGATGCACCACAGAGTTGCTCACATGAGTGATCTCCTATCAAAAGTCAAAATGAGGCAGGTTATAAATAAGTAGAAATAACTAAGTACATAATGTTGTGTATTTCAAGTAGCATGTAAGAGAAAGAAATTGTTTAGATTTCAATTACATGGGCAGTTCATCTAACAGGTCAGGAAACAACAATGTCTGACATGGCAGTGGTGCTGTAGCTGAACTGAGCAAGCTATTGTCCTGAATATGGTTGATGGTTTCTTAATTTAGTCTAGTGGTGTTACTTTGGCTAAATGTGCTTTTATTGACCCCTTTCTAACTAACAACTTGACGTGGCTCAGAACAGTTCTATGCTCAATGCCATTCCCTCACAAATTTCTTCCACCACTGCAAGTTTTTGTCACAGAAATATGAAAAATGCTTAGGCTCTTACCTCTGCAATAGAAAAGTATATGACATAATTCATGAACAAGGGTCAAAAGCAGAACTATTAGAGAATCACCTGTGAATTGCAATGGACTCATTTACATTTGAAATTAAAGAAGTAGATGTTAAAATGCCATAAGCTACATAAGAATCAGAGATACATACTCGTTTTGAAGCTTACTGCATCAGTAGGTTCACTGGATCCAGCATCATTGTGTGCTGTGACAGACACATCATACTCAGAGCTGCACTGGAGGGATGGCACCATGCAGGAGGCAGAAGATGTGTTACACCTCAGTTTCAGGAGCCCACTGGAGACTGTGACACTGTAAGTTAGAGCTCCTTCTGTTGGCATCCAGGAGACAGCAGCTCTTGAGGCACCACTATTGAAAGCTACTTTAACATCCACTGGTGCATTAGGACCTATGGTATATCAATTTGGAACTCATAAATATAACTTAGGTTATAGCCTACAGACATGATCTCTTTCACAACTTGCAAACTAAATGCATTTTTTTGAGTGCAAACCTTACCCACATTTATGTTAAAATTATATTTTTAAAAAGAAGTCGTTCTAGTTGACCATAGCTGAAACTCCCTGCTTATTTGAGTATTTGCTTCTCACAATTAGAAAAATCCTCAAAATCAGTCTGAGCTTGTGTAACCCTTATCCAGACCTGTCCTAAGTACAACTTTAGTGACAGTAATTGCTATCTTTGCCTCAGTAATGTTCACTAAACATAGCCATGTCATCTGAGCTTTCATAAACTTTGACACGAGGCAAAAATATGATCTGAAAATCTACTCAATGTATCTTTGAAAAACATAATACAATCACAAATACACATAAATACTTTCTGGTATATTGTTGCTGTGTCGTTCTTAGAATGCTGACTTGGTTTCAGAAGAGAAAATTTCTTACTTGTTCTTTGGTTATATGTGAAATCATCTCCAGGCACTCCATTGGCATTCCAGGCATAAGCCTTGACAGTATACAGAGTTCCTGGATCTAGATTTGTAAATATCAAGGAGGTATTGGTGGTGTTCTGCTTCAGCACTCTGCCCAAACCATCTGATCTCATGAGTGACACAGAGAACCCAGCTGCCATATGCACAGCTTTCCAGCTCACTGCAATGGAGTCACAGCTCGGAGAACGAACAGACAGAATTGGAGCAGCCAGGACTGTTGAGGAAAAACAAAATTATGCCTTTGGTTTTTCAATAGGACAGCTTGAAAAGGCCAAATTTGAAATGAATATACAGAACAAACAATCACTAACCCTGAGAGACAAATTCAGTGACAACAAAACCAGAAAAAAGAAATTAATGCAAGATCGACAGAGCAAATTTGGAAAGTGATTTGGTGCATCAATTATTGTATAGCTCATTTTGTGAAATGAACAAAAGTTGTACAATGAACAAAAGCTGTACAGAATGTGAGAAGGGCTGCATGTGTTGAAGAATGAAAATCACCAAGAAGATACTGCATTTCCTGTCCTCTAAGTTTTACATTATCTTCCTATCTTATACTTTTGATTGTTTCTTCATTTCTTCAAGTTATGCCTTTTGTTAAAGTAAAATACATATATTCATACAAATTCTAATGAAACTCCCAGCTGAACTTTTAACTTACTGTACCATCATAAAGTAAACCATTAATTCAGACTTTTGTCCTGGTCATTAAGTCAGATGGCTGAATTCTAGTCGTCAAAAACTGAAAGAAGAATGCGATCAGTACAATTTAAAAAAAAGGTTATAATAATTCAGGACTGGTACATGCATGAATGCTTTATGTTATAATAACATTACAGAATTTGACATAAGATTTTGAAAGCCCACCTGTTTTTACTTTTGTGAAAGGTGAAGGCTGGCTTTTTCCTCCTGAACTGATAGACCTGACCGTGATTCGGTACAAGGTGGCAGGCTTCAGTCCCGTCACTGTGCCTGGAGAATTCTTCACTATAGTTTCAACAAAGGAATCTCCATCTTGTGCAGTCAGCATGTAATTAGTAGCCCCAGGTACTGCTCTCCATTCCACTGTGATACTGTTGCTAAGTTTTGAATAAGCTTGGTCAATAACAGGTATATCTGGAGCTAAAATGGAGGTAATGAGAGACGTACTGAAGTGGGAAAACACAGTCCTGTGGAACATTTCACAAAGACAAAATGTAGGACAAATAGTCCACACTTTCTATGAATTATTAAAATTTAAGTTAAATGGACTTTCAGTGAACATTAACAAAATACAGAGCCTTGTGATATTCTAGATCAAATTTCAGCTTTCCATAAAAATACTCTAATACTCTGAAATCACTATTGTAAGAGCATTATTTAACCTAGGTTTCACTGAGAGGTTCTCCTTCAGAGCAAATTAACTATATTACTAATTAAAGTGATATACAAAGCAACACATACAAAGAAGAAATATATGTTTATACAAAGCAGTCTGAAATAGGACACTGAACCATAGGAAATTCTATATCAAAGCAATATACAATAATCTAGTCTGGAAGGCATCACAGGAACTCACCTAACCTCCTGCTTAGAGCAGATATTCAATATTGGGTATTCAATAACATGACCAATCAAATATTGTAACAATGCTTTGGTGTTATGCTCTACCATTCAAAAAGAGCTCTTTTGTACTGCAGACACAAAACTAAGTAAACCAGTGTACTTCTTAACCACGAGTAATTTATGTTCAGAAATCAGGATTTTCACACTAAAATCAGCATTTATAAAGCAATTACGCGTGTTGCAAGGCTGCAAAACACTCACTAGAAGAGAAAAAAGATAAAATGAAGGTAATATCCCACATAAAATGAAGAAAAGGAATGTAGAGGTATTTGGGATGAAGCTGGTACCTTGGTTCATAGCAAAGCAGCTCACGGGGGATTTGGGACACCTGAGCAAGTATTATACACAGCTGCTCAGCTAAGTGCTAACATCTGTAACATCTACATGCTTTTATTTATATATATATATATTCTATACTGGACTGTTAGCAAGACTTAGACCTGGGTGAGGATTTCCTGCACAGAAATTTTTATGAATTGTTACGAAAGACAATATTATAGAACAAACTAAGAAAAAAAAAATTACAGTGCAGTATTTTGCTCCAGAATTGTGAAAGACCCATCTGCAAATGTTCCATAGGCATGGTCAGACAGAATATCTGGGACCATTTCTACAAATGGGGCAAAAGAGGGTGTCTGACTGTAACTGATAAGAACGTGCTTGGGACTAAGAGCAGATGTTAATTGTTAGTTGAGTAGCTGTGCATTAAATTCCAAAACCTTGGAAATATTTGTCCATAGGAGATTGTGCTTCTTCTGGTGTGGTTTTGATTTTGGTATTTTGTTTGTTTGGTTGGTTGTTTTTTTTGAGGGAGTGTGATAGAATTTTCTTTTCATGTTTCTTTTGGGTTTTTTTTTTTTAATTATCAAAATATACAACAATTGGTTGTAAATATGGGACAGTGTGAATTCTATTTGTACCACAGCTATATAATGAACAGCAGAATTTGTTCATCTGAGTGTTCTCCCTGGTTCACACTAGTATCAAGGTACAAGTCTGAATATTTGAGTGTCCAACAGAATTGTGACTCTTAAAAATGAGATTTAAAATTTATAAAGACATCAATGTAATTTTTTAAGCCTGAATCAAACATGAAAACATTTTTTGTTTGCAAAGCTGCTAGAACTTACAGAATATTTTATTAAAAAGCACAAGTGGGTATTCTCTTCAGACCCATTCAAAAATAGGTAGGAAAAACCAAAAAACCATTTTGAATATTTACCTGTGTTTGCTGAAAATATCTGAAAAGGAAGATATAACAAAATTAGAATACAATGTGACATATTTTATTTTGAAAATTAAAAATCTAAGAATGTTAGTAACAACAACCTAAAACATTATGTTTATTAACACATTTTACTTATGTAAATATTATGTATTTGCTTAGATTCTTTAAGCATGGAAAGAGCACACAACCAATGAGATTTGGTACAGGTATGCAGATTGTACTACTTCTGCATTTCCCCCTCTGAACCCGGCTATTAATCCTGTTTGCAGTTGTTGACACACTTTGAAAGTATTTTTCAGTCATGTGTAAACAGTACAACACTGTGATAGTATCGGAATACCAATGTGGAAGCGGATGTCTGATAGTGCTCCACCCTAACTTTTAGTTTACTTTTCCGAAGAATTCAGTATCATCGCTAAAATAGCTTTACAGCAAGTCAGTCTCACTCACCATTTCTAGGCAGCCGAGAAGCACTCCAGTAAACGCTAATGATCTACTTTTCGCACCACACATCTTGGCAGAGCTTGGTTCCAGCTTCACACGGGGCGAAAGGCGGCCGATGCCAGCGCCGTTCCCCAGCGGTGCTGTCACTGCAGGCTGGCACCCCCCGGGGCAGAGGAGGTGGCGCTGGGCTGGCCGCTCCTCCCTGCGGGATCACCGCTGGACAGCGGCCACCAAACTCAGTGACACCACCGAACCCGGTGACACGGGGCCACCACAGCATCGGCTTGTGGCCGCATGGCTGTGGGGGTCTCTTCCCTCCTGTTATAGGGTGCAGATTCTGTATGGTTTATACAAGACTCACAAAATAATTAAGCTCAATGACATTTGGTCTTCAGCTCATTGTCTATTGCATTTTTGCCCACTCACAAGGATCTTATTTTCCAGCGGGAGTGATGCCCTCATCGTACTCCCCTTTGAGTGGCACACCGTCATACAGACTGGGAACTAACCTTCCTCGTACCTGGCACTGTGGAAAGAGAAATTTTCCTCGCATTCCTTCGTATTTGTGGTAGATGCTGGTTTCCCTTTGATAACACAACTTTATGTCTTCAAACTATAACTTCTGACAGACGATTATAGGTGTCAACAGCCGCTATCGTTCTATGACCCGACAGTGTTTTCCTTGGTGGTTTACACGCATGTCAGCGGGAACCTGGGGGCCGTTTTCGTGTTTTCGTGAGGGAGCCCCGGTCTTCCCCCGAGAGGACCTGGGAGCAAGGCAGGTTTCGGGAGCCCCCTCGGCCAGGCGGTCTCCAGCTCCCCTCTGCTCCCCGCACCTCGCCAGGGCCGCCTCGGTCGGGAGCGCCTCCCGCCGTCCCGGGCTCACCTGAGCAGGAAGCTCCTTCCTCAGGGGACGAGCCCTCGCCACCGGGCACTTCCCCAGTGGGAATTTCGGACCCCATGGTGGCCGAGGAAGAGAGCCCGGCTCCCGGTGGGCTGGTCCGGCCTCTTGAGGGGCTGCCCCCGGCCGGCAGGAGCCGCCCCGCCCGGGATCGGGCTGCGCCCTCCGCCGCCGCCCTTGAAGAGGGAGGGGAAGGCAGCGCTGCCAGGCGGGGCTGGCAGCAAGATGGCGCCGGCGGTGCGGGGGCTGAAGAGCTTCGTGTGGCAGAGTGAGTGGCTGTGGGGCTCTTTCCCCGCTCCCGCGACCAGAGCGCCCTGGGGCCGTTCCGTGGGCGCGGGCTGGCCGGGAGCCTCTGCCGCTGAGGCGCTGGCTCCGTGTAGCTCCATGGGGTTGGGGGTGCCCGTCGAGGTGAGGTCCGGGGCCGCTCCCGACGCGGCCAGAGCCGCGCTGCTGTCGGAGCTGAGGCGGCCGAGCGGGGCTGGGGTCGGGCCCGGGCCCGGGCGCTCTGTGGGCAGCCGGTGTCCGGCGGGGGCTGCGGGTGGCGGCTGCTGCCGGCTGTTCCAGGGCTCGGCGCGCTGGTGGGAGGTGGCTGCCCCGGCTTGCGGCGGTGCCGCGGGTGTCCGCAGTGACAGCGCTGCAAAGAGACGCTTGTGCCTTTTCCGAGATAAGGGTGAGCACTGTAAGCTACAGCCCGCCTGACGGGCTCTTAAAGAACCTAAACCTAAGTCAGCTCTTCAAGCACTTCTCTATTACCTCCGAACTGCTACTTTTGGAGAGTGCTCCGGCCCCAGAAGGGGCTCTGCTCTCTCTCTCTTTGTGTTTGGCTTCACAGTTTTTGGTAGAAAAAGTTGAAGGTGTTCCCAGGTAGGCTTACAAGTGAACTGCAGATTTTTATCTCCGTGTTTTGGAGCAGGTTCTGCTGGTGTTTGTTACAGAAAATGAAGTTGTAACTGCTCCTTTCCTTGCCGGAGTAGAAAGGCTGGTAGTATTTCAGGTAGTGTGAGACCTTTGGGGAAAAGGCATAGGCAGCCACCTCATCCCCAGCTTAATTGTACTGAGGTTGTGACTCCATGAGCTGCTCAGCCAGCCCGGCGACTGTCGCTGAAATGGGAAGGTCCTGCTGCCGTCTTGTTTTCGTTTTTCTCCTCTGCTTCCACCTGAAGGCTGTTCGTTTGTCACTAGAAGTGAAAAGCAGACTGTCCCTTTGGAGTTCAGTCCTAATTGCTGGCACCTGTACCCTGCTCGATACCTTTGTTTAAACCTTAAACCGTAGAAATCCCCACTTTTGCTGCTTTGCTTATCCTGCTGTCTTGCTCTTTGTGCCTGTGACTGTAATGCCAGTGTTTTGTCCTGAAATATTTTATAAAAGACTTGGACCTTAAAAGGGAGTAATTTGATCAAAGCATAAGTGTGTCGTTAAGGGCCATAAAGACGTTTGAAAATTGTGTTGCCAGTGTGAGGAACAAAGATTAGAGTGACAGTGAAGCAGTGTGAATAATAAAACATTTACATTACAAGCTTAGTTAAGAGGAACTTCTGAAATGAATGCTTTGTTAGTCATCTTGTTTCTCTTGTCTTTCCAAGACTACAACAACAGTGAAAATTGATGAACTAAGTTTTAGACATTGTCTGGCACTTTTGAAATGGGTAATTGAAGGCCATAAACTGCTGCTTCCTAATGTTTCAGCAAAACATGAGGGGGTTTTACTAAGGCTGATTTGTGTGAAAATAGTGATGCTGATGCTTTATGTAGCAGTTTGTATCCATGTGTATCTTGTTCCCGCTCTGTAAATAGGCACAGAAGTTATACCTGTGGTGTGTGGAAAAGTTAATTCACACAAGTTTGTCCTCAGTTAAGCTCGCAGTTGTGAGGACAGAGAGCTACCTCTATTTAGGAGACAGTAGTTCCATGGATAAAATCAGGACATACAGAGAGCTGCTGTATATAGTCAATCTCTAAATTAAGTCCTTTCCACAAGAAATTCTGTCTTTTCATTTTTTTTCTCAACTTTAAATTGTTTTGTAGACTTGTATAAGGAGTTCTAGCTTAGCCATAGATAGCTATAATAATTTTTGTAAATGATTCAGCATTTTAGCAATTCTGTTTTTTGTAGCACTTGCTTAACAGTCCTTTCTTCAGGAAGTATGTTATAAACGGGTCATTAATTTTGCCAAGGTGTGGTTTGCTTCTTTTTTTTTCCACACAGGAATTTGGCAGCCTGCTGTTCTGTCAGTGCTGTGTATAGTTCTTTCCTAGATTGTGAAGTAAAGGTAGAAGAAAAAAAGCTTTTGTAAACTAATTAAATGTATTCAGAGAAGACAAAATCTGAAAAGGTAGTTAGGGTGTATGGTTGGTATAAAATCTGTGAGAAGAAAATGAAAGCCTGGACAAAAATGGAGCACTAACCTGGGTTTGCTTTTTGTGTGTCCAGAATGCTTGCAGGAGAAAAATGATTTTGAGAGCCTGTAAACCAATGTAGGTCAATTATTTGGGTGAAGTAGCTGCAGGTTGAGGGCAAAATCAATAACAGTTGGAATAGTGCAGGGGCACTTTAATATTATTATGGGAGAAAACTGACTTCTATTTTTTTATAGCAGAAATGAGGTTCAAGACAACTGAATTATCCATTTGTATGTTCTGGTGTCTTTTATAGGCAAATATTGTAGAAAAAACATAATATTTGAGATTTTGGACAAGGTTGTTGGGCACTTAGTCTTTAGCATTGCACAGAATTTCTTTTAATTAACTAGCAAGAGTGTTGTCAGAAAATATGAAGGTTAATAAAATTTTCATGTGGTTAAAAATTTGTTATTACTCCTGTGTACAGTCCTAGACACAGGCAGGGACAGTTTGTGGTGAAGAATTGTGCAAGTATTTTGGTTTTTTTTCATTTTTCTTTTTAGGGCTCTGAATATATGAGTCTAAGTGGGTGAATTATTTTTTTCTTTCTTAGTAACAATTGGATTCCTCTAACTGGTGAACTGTTTCTTCTTACAGAGCTGAAATCAGCAGTATTTGATGACTTTACCAAAGAGGAAGAATGGAAGGTACAATTTTGTTAAAATTTTTATAAGAATTCTGTCATCACTCAAACAAGAAATCTGTATCACTGAATAGAGAATAAATAGATAAAATTAATGTCTGGCATTTTCACTCAAGATTGGTTTCTGCCGAAGTAATAGACTTTTGGGAACTCAGATCTCTGTATAATGCATATTGAAAAATCTAGAGGCTATTACAGGAAGAAAAACTGTCTAGTAGTCTCTTTTTTTTTATTAGATGTGAAGAAAAATTAGAAACTGTTTGTGTTTATCTTCATTTCCCTTTTGAAATTTATTAATTTCCAAAATTACACTGTACTGCAGTACATGTGAAGCAGGATTCAGCAGTATGATACCTGTAGAACTGTATGAACTGTATGATACCTGTAGAACTGCTTAAGCTATAAAACAGTTTTAAAATAAATACAGGTTTAAAACAGTTTTAAAATAAATATTTGAGCAGGCCATGGGGTAAATTAGCAGGAATTCAAAAAACTTGTGTCCAAGTGAAACTTTCAGAGTACTTTCTAGTATGAGTGGGGGGAACAAAGCTCAAATTTAAGATTGAGCTTGTCTTTGGAAATCCTGTCCATTAGGAGCCGTCTTCTGCAATTAATTTCCCCTTGCAATGTTAGTGTATGCAGGTAATGAAAAAACAGAGTGATAAAATAGTTGTAGCTTCAAACTTTTATGGCAAGTTGTTGAGGAAATGACATGGGTTTAATATAGCTGATTAATGTATCTACATACTTGTGTGTGTTTTTTTAAAATATGTTTAGGTAATGCTCTTAGATGATTACACTACTAAATTACTGTCACTGTGCTGCAAAATGAGTGATCTACTGGCAGAGGGTGTCACAGGTAAGCATAATTCTTATTGATACACCAATGGCAGTATCCTGGTAAGAAAAAGGGAAAGACTGAAATTGATGAAATTGATAGTACCCTTGGAAGAAATGGTCTTTATTTGGTTGATGAAGATGAGTAGTTATGGGATATTAAAATAGTAGACTTTTAGGCTTCTACAATCATTAGTCAATTGTGTTTTGTTTTTTTTGGTTTTTTTTTTAAAGGAAAAAACCAAATGTTTCTCTGCCTGAAAGCTCAGATCCTCCCTTTAATTTTTTTTCCCTAAAGATTGCTCTAAGGGTTTGTGGGGTTTTTTTTTTGTTTGGTTGGTTTTTTTGGTGTGTTTTTTTGTTTGTTTGTTGTGGGTTTTTGGTGTTTTTTGTACTTTTACTTTTTTTGTTGTTGTTTGGTTGTTGTGGTGGTTTTTGGTGTGGGGTTTTTGGTGGGTTTTTTTGTGAGGTAGGAATGGGTGTTTGTTTGCTGGTGCCTATTTTTGAAATTGAAATAAATTCCCAAGATGTAAATGAACTAGTTTTAATTAGCTTTAGGTGTAGATTTTCAGAAATGCTTGTGTAAGAAGGCATTGTTTAGACCTGGTTATTTATTCCACAATACTATTCTTATTCCAGTTATTTAGCATAATGTGATTATTCTGAAAATATAATAGTAGAGCTGTATCAATTTTGCTTTTTGGTGTGTGTTTTAACTCATAAGTGCTACTTATCCTTTGTGAGAAACTTTTGGTGAGCATGTATCCTTTTCATCAAGAAGAAACCTTTTCTTTTTAGTGAGCACACAGCTGAAAGGAACCTGTCTTTCCACATCCAGATGTCTGACATTACTTATCTTCCTTGTTCCTCCCCCACAAAATTTCTGAGCCACAAGAATATCTCTGCATTCTCAAGCTAGTGTATTGTAAAACTATACAGTAATGACTTTATTAAACAGAGAAAAACAAGAGATGAGTGAAGCTGATTTGCTGAAAAATGTCTTAATTTGTGCCTGCAATTATGTTGAAACAGAGTAATTGCCCAGGACATAGGCAAACAAAGGACAGAAGAGGCTGTAGTCCAAAATGATGCCCTGCATAGTTTCTCTATCCCTCTCCTTCACTGTGCTGGAAAAAGAACTCTCTTGCCAGGAGAGGGGCAAGAGAGCCTGGACTATGTTTGCATTGCCATTCTGTGTAGAAGTGTAGAATACCTGGGAAGGACTTAGTCCTACAGCTTTAGTTGTCACTAGACTGAGAGTTGAGAAAGCCTTGTGGTAACCTTCTGTATACAAAATAACCAAGAAATCAAGACTCTTGGCAGAAGGTACCTCCTTACCTCTAATATTGTGGACAACTTGATTGCAGTTAATACAGAGTTGATAAAAATGAAGTAAAATATGTGCAGTGTTTTCCTTAAAGATGCATAATGTTCCTAATTATAACCATGTAATATTTCTTACTTTATAGTGGTGGAGAATGTATATAAAACCCGTGAGCCTGTCCCACACATGAAAGCAATATATTTAATAACTCCCACCAAAAAGGTTAGTATTTTAAAGTGTTGCAAGATCTTTCAGACTGAAAAAAACTCCTTATTTTAAAATAAATGTTATTTACTGTGTACAGCTATGCAGTACTTTACCTTTGCATTTTCTGTGATACTCCTCTGTGTGATGCCTGATTTCCCAAGATGAAAAGACAAAGTAGTGCCACCATGGAATATGTATATCTTGTGGTCAATGTAGGCACTGGATCATTGCTTAGCAATTGTAACCTCACTGAAAGACATGTTGTATCACATCATGATACAATACACTGAAAAATGGAATTCCAATAATGTCTCTAATTAGAGATTACTGTTACTTCCTAAAAATTCTTGAGACAATAAATCTCAGCACTGTTACAGCTGGAAAATGATGTAAATACTGTGATGTGTGTGCTTCCTGAAAGGAGCTTGGTGCATGACTGATCACCTGTAATTGCTTGTTATTCTTCATCTGGAATTAAAAATCTTAAACTTCTGTGTTTTCTTATATGTTGAAATGCAGTATTCCTAAGTGGGACTTGGTAATAGAGCAGGAGGAGAGGAGGGAGAAGCTTTGTCTGGTATGTGTAGAAAGGCAAAACACTGGCATGATGTTTTTTGTTTTTATTTCCTTGTTTTTCTTGCCCCCTAAGTCTGTAGATGGACTGATTGATGACTTCATTAATAAACCATCCAGCAGATACAAAGCAGCATACGTGTATTTCACTGACTGTAAGTAAGCTCTGGGGTTGTAGTTTGGTAACTTTATATGGGTAAATAAGTAAGCTGCTCACTTCTCTTGTCTGTAGCTGAGTAAATGAAAAATTTGGACCCTGTTTCTTGCTAGAAGGTTTGAGACTCAAGTCATTAAGCATATATCTGGGTTGCCAGGCTGTGATCATCATGCTGTGTGGCAATAGTAATTTCTTTCACAATTACCAAACAGTCTTGATTGTTCTCCACCTCTGCTTTTAATTTAGATAATGTAGTTTTATTTTTAAGTATTTCAGTCTTCTCCTGTGTTGGAGTATGGAGGAAGACAATTCAAGTCAAACTAGGCATCTCTACATAAACAAAACAGTACCAAAAACATAACTACATGAGAACTTTGTGCAAGAGCTGTGTCAGTAATTGGTAGCTTCAGGTAGTTCCTTCAGAGCTGTGAGTCAGCTTTTCCCCTTCCCTGAAAGAAGGGGCCTACTTAGCCCTTGCATGCATGACATTAATTGTGCAGCAGAGACAATCACTGGGAGCAGGATTCATGTGGCTGCACATGGCCCTGCAGTCAGTCAGCGTGACTAAAATGGCTCTAAAGAGGGGAAAACAAAAAACCCAAATGTGCTGCTGAAGGCAGAGACTGAGGCGTGCCTCTTTGTGGACTGTGTATCTGCTACTGGATGTTCTCAAAGCAGTATTAAATTACTATCCAAATTCTTGCTTTCTTGTTTAATTTCGTGCTGAAGCAGCAGTTACTGTTCTGGAAAAGTACTGCTGTCTTGCTGTGTGCTCCTTGGTTGCAAATGGGCAAGCTTTCAGTTTGAATACTTGCCAAAACTTTTCCTGTTGAGAGAAATAGCTCCTGAGTTAGAGAAATAACTGTCACTTCCAAGTTTGTGTAGTATTCATGTCATCTATGCATTCCTAAAATTCAGTTTCTAGACTGGGGTCCAATATAGCCTGGAAGTGAGGTGGAACACATTGGAGATCTAATTAAATTCCATATCTCTGTGTTTTGCTCTCAGATTTGTACACATGATTCTTTTTTGTAGCTTGGGAAATGTTTTTTTCTCTGCTACATGACAAGAAATAGCAGAACCCTTTACTTTGATAAAATCAACATCCTAGCAGACTGCTAATGAGTGTTCAACAATGTTTTGCTTGCAAAAAGCCAGTATAAATTGAGCAGTGGTGCTTCTCAAAAAAGATTTCATTAACAAAATATTGATTATATAAATTATTTCACTTTAGGAAGAGTAGGCTTTTTTTTTGTATTTTATGGTTAATTGTGTCTTAATATAGAATTGCCTGCTCTGAATACTGTATGTTTATAAGTGAGCTGACAGCTGGAATAGTACAAATTACTTGTACTTAGAGTCTCTTCTTTTCTCCTAGTTTGTCCTGACAGCCTCTTCAATAAAATTAAGGCTTCATGTGCAAAATCAATAAAGAAATGCAAGGAGATCAACATTTCATTCTTCCCTTATGAATCTCAGGTAAGTTTAATTCTTAACCTTAACAGTAGTCTGGAGGATTATTCTCAAGTGCTTCTGACCTCTAGAAAACAATGGAATAGAGTGTAGCTTTTGATTGACAAACTCTGTGAGATATTTCCATTTGGGCACATTTCCAGTGCTTGCTTATGCTTTTCAGATGAAAACAAATGCTCTTGTACTCAAAGTTTTTCTCTTTGCACTTGACCTCTTTGCAAGACTTGGTGTCAGTTGCAATGGGGAGGTTAAAGAAGGAACCTGTTCCCTAAGAGCAAGCAAGTATTCTGGCTGGCCTTTGGTAAGAGTTTGTTACTGCTGAGACTGAGGTTTTACTTTGATAGGTTGAGTAGGTTGGTGCATAGGGGTAAAGTAGATTTTGGTGAAAGTCAGGAAAGGAGAACAAATGGACTAAGAGAACTGAAGGGGAGTGGAACAAAAACTACTACCACTTGACAGTCTTTTCAGTGAGAGGAGAGTATGGAAATTCTGTATTCTCAATTCAAGATCCATACTACCAGGGGAAACCAATGGGTGTTTTCCATGTGCAGCCACACAGTGGGTGTTGTGTTGACAAGTCATTTGTTGCTCATGCCCTTCGTCAGACACAGAGGGCACGCTGATGCTCACTAAGACAGTGAGGCCTCCAAGCTCTGCCCAGTTCTGGGAGCTGGAGAAGTAACCACAACTAACCACAAATGTTTTCTGTGTCAAATGTTATCAACCTATCAAGGGGACAACTCTTATGTGTACCAAGTGGCAGGTGAATATAGGAGGGATTGCTGCTAGCCCTGTCTCACTGTGGTGCAGTTTCCTGGTTTGAAGACACATTCCTTTTTATTTATAGAGGGTTCTTTATTATTTTGGTTGAGAATCCATCAGGGGATAATGAGCATGGTGACCTGTTTGTTTGCTTTCCAGTGAGGTTGATGTTTACAAGTTTTCAAGCTGGTTTTGGGAGCCCTGCCAAAGCTGCTTTTCTGTATCAAACAAAGCCTATGAAAATGTTGTGGTCCTGGTTCACTGGAGGACTTGCCATGAAAGCAGAAATCAAGACTACTTTTCTGTAGTTGAAAATAAGCAGCACTAAGGCTGGGCAGCGCTCTTCTTGTTTTTACTGGAGTTTTGTATTCTCAGTATCTGGGGTTGTGAGAACCTTTTCAGTCCTTAGCAGAGGAACAATGTGAACTGGTCTGCCTGCTTCCTGGGATGCTAGAGGTAAATAATCAGGCTGAGCTCTGGGCAAAGTCCAGGTGATTACCTATTTGAGTGAAGCAAACACCTTTATCTAGATGGCTCTGTCGTTACAGAGTCCATCTGAAGCTAGAGGAAATCCATTTACTGACAATGGGATTGTACCTATGTTTGCATTCCATTTACAAAACTGTTGAAAAAACCTTTCATCTCCGTAGTACTAAGCTACTTTAATCAAGATTTAATGCATTTAAAGAATTTCAGCTATTCAAGGTAAATTCTTCATATTAAAAGTAGGTACAATATGTACATTTTTATTTTAAACCAATTTAACCTTCTGATATTGCATTGTATGGCTCTGTACAAGGCACTGACAGGTGTTTAGTTCCTTCCTTCCATCTGTCCTTCCTTCCATAATTTGAAAAATAGAGCAATTTACACAGTAGAGTAATAGGGAAAAAGTCTGAGAACAAGAAGATGAGCTCAGCAGGGATAGAGGAATGAAGTGTGGGTTTGTTTGGGTTTTTTTCTTAAGTGTCCTATGTATGACTTGTTCTTGCAATTTTAAATCATTAGCAAACTTTTTACCAGGTGTTTTGTCAATCTGCAAGTTAGGCTCTTTTTTCCTTGCTTGTGCTTTGTGTAGGTATTTACTCTCAACATCCCAGATGCCTTCTACCGCTGCTACAGTCCCACTCTGGAAAAGACAAAGGATAAAGATGCTGTACTGCAAGTCATGGCTGAACAAATTGTCACCCTGTGTGCCACACTAGATGAGAACCCAGGAGTGCGATATAAAAGGTGGGACAAAATTAGTGTTTTATAGTAATTGCTCTCACTTCTAGGGCCTAGCACATTATTTGGTCATAGCTCAAGGCTGCAGCATAGTTTTTTTTGGGTTTTTTTCCCTTTGCGGTTGCGGATTAATTGTTTTTAATCCACAAGTCTGAAATATGGAATGATAGGAATTTGTGAAGTGTAGGTGGGGCAGTGTTTTTCTGTGTACATGCATGTAACAGTACTTTCTACACCCTGTCTTGTTCTGAATGGTTTGTTTCATGTCTGGTCAGTGGGGTGACACTGATAGGCTGCATTCTTGTATGCCATAATCCTGTAACAGAACTGCTGCTGTTCAGCCATTTGCAGCTCTGCTTGGCACCAAGGAATTCAGAAATTGCTGTGGCACATGGGATCGGGATTTCTTGTAGTAGAGATATTGAGAAGAATGCCTCTTTTCAACTTTGAAAGGGATTTACTATCTTTGAAGTCAAAGTAGGCTTCTGAAATTGTATTCAAGGACTGCATTCTGTGGTGTAATGTGAAGTGGTGTCTTATTCTCTGCAAAGGTAACAAACAGTTGCTTGACTGTTTTTGGTTTTTTTCCCTGTTCTTTCTCTTTTTTCTTTCTTGTTTCCCACCTCTGAGTGAAACTTTAGGTGCTGGGCCATGTTCCAGCTAATGCCAGTCTTTTGGCTGAAGCTGTTTCTGCTGTGTAAAATACCTGAAGCATTCAAAGAGTGAAATTATAATGTAAAAGTGAAAACATATTGGAAATACTTAAAATTGAGTTTGGAAACTCATGAAAGCAGAGCATCAGTCTAGGGAGTTTTCAGTTTTAAAGGTAGCATTTTAGTGTTCTGATGAAGAAATGTAACTTATTTTTGCATGCTTCCTTTTTTCCCAGTGGACCATCTGATAGAGCCAGCAAACTTGCACAACTTGTTGAAAAAAGTCTTGAAAACTACTACAAAACAGATGAGAGAAGCCAAATAAAGGTAGACGATGAACTAAAATGTTTGATTTATTTTTTTAAACTTTGTTCGTATGTCTGGGGAAAAAAATCTTTGAAATATTCTTCAACAGTTAAGTTCTACAAATATAGATATTATTTAATAATAAAGGCAACTAGTTGCCATTTAGTTGTTTTTGTGTATGAAAGCCATGTAGAGGTAATACTGTTGGACTAAAGCTGTATTTGTGTGATCAAAGTAATTTTATTTGAAAAATTAGCCCTGTGATAATGTAGGGGGATGCTACAAACCTGAAGACCAGTGGATAAATGTTGTTTTAATGTCACCTTCCATAAGGCCATGGAAGGTATAGAAGGGGTTTACTCCAGAATTGAAATGTTTCCCCTGAAGGGACTTATTGTCTACAAAGATACAGCTGTTCACATAAATCATGGTTTTGATTTGTCACTACAAATCAGGCCTGATTAGGGCAGCTGCTTAAACACAAAACCATGGGGTAAACCATTCTGATTTTGACTTTGCTACAGAAATAAATGTTCCTGCTGCTACTGCCACTTCACTGAATCCCAAAATGAAACTTTCAGTTGAATGTTTGGAGATGTTTTCCTGTATTGCAGCACTATCTGATCTGCAATACAAACAATGAAGTTATCTATTATATCTCTGGGCAGCATTTTTGGGGTTTTGTTTGTTTTTCTTTTACCTTTTTTGTTCACTAGACTAATAAAATTCGTATTTGAGTGTATTGCAGTGGGCTAAGAGCATTGCCTTAAACTTAGTATTTAAAACCATTGTATATAATTCAAATGTTCAGACAAACACTTGGACCCTAATTCAGTGCTTTTCAGTTATTTTCCTAAAAATACCTGCAGTGCTGTGACTTAATGCAAATAGATTTAACATGCATTAACTTTCTCCTGTATGTCTTAACTTTGTGTTTGTTTGATGGCTTTCTAGGCTAAAACCCACTCCCAACTAATAATAATTGATCGTGGTTTTGACCCAGTATCAACTGTACTCCATGAGCTCACCTTCCAGGCAATGGCATATGATCTGCTACCCATTGAAAATGATACTTACAAGCAAGTACTTAAAAAAAAACCCTCTAAATAGTTTATTCTTGATTATAAAATCCCTGAAATTGTTCAGCTCAATTGCACCATGGCAATATTAGCTGCTTATATTGCATAATGGTTGCTTCACTTATTGTTAGTCTTCCCTCTTGTATTTGTGACTTCATCATTTTCTTAACTTCCTCCCTTAGTTGATATTAGGTAGGATCTAATTGGCATTTTTGTTAAGTTTTGAGTCCACCAAATTGCATTTTTTAAGAACTAAGAACCTTGTACTACTCTTGAAGTAAAGCCTTGGGAGTGCACATTGAGATTCTCTAGATTTTCTTTCATATTCTCAACTTTTTGGCATAACAAAACAAGCAATACCACTAACTGAATACTGAGAAAAAGCTAGGTTATTTCTCAGGTATGCTCACTTCTATAGCTCTAATAATTTTTAATTTGTGTAGTTGTTAAAATTTGCATGTTTTATTGTAAATACACATTTAAATCTGTCATATTCAGTTTATAAGCACTGTTTGGAGTGGTGTAATGTTAATTTGCATAAGTTATGTGCTTTGCTGTCTGATTGTTCTGACAGCAATGGTTTTGGTAGGACTTTGCTTTTCTGATGACCCACTTAAGCAAAAGAGACCTGATGGGCTCATTGTTTAGCCAAGCAAAGAGGAATGTGTATCTTCAGTCAGAAGCACTGAGTGAAGATTTTATTAGCAGGTGTAGACTGTGAGTCTGAAAGTGAGTCTGGGTTAGATTGCTGGGTATGAAAATGTAGCACAATGTTTTCTAGGGAGTCACGATCTGACTTTGGTCATTAATCTTGTAATTTTTTTCATTCTTTTGCATTCTGGCAATCTGCACTGTGTGAGTTTTGGTAATGTGAAAATATTATGTGGCATGATTGTGGTCTTGTTTTAGGTTTATTGCTGTTTATAGTCACGTAATAGCTGCTCTGTTATGCTGTGCAGCAGTTGCTTTTATATGTGAAGTAGTTTGTCCTGCTTAGCATTTTGTCGGTGAATGTAACTTCAATTTCCCTTAGTTATAAAGTCTTATAGTACAGAAAGAAAGCTGCACTTGGCAATTGCAGTGTGTATTACTTTGTGCTGTTTGCATTTGAAATCAAAACTGAAGAGAAATTGAGGTGCATGTAAATGTGTGTTTAAAACTCTCGTCACTGTTGGTTTAAAAAGAATGTCCAGAAGTTCTTGCCCCAAAGAATCTTTCTAAAATTCATCTGATGCATCTGTGTTAAAATATGTAATCTGTAAAATCCTGTAAATTATATTTTCTCAGGCACTGGCTTGGCTTATAAATTAAAACCTTTGTCAATTACTGCTGTTACCATTTATGTTGATTAAACTGTTACAAATAATCCTGTAATAAGTGATGAGAATTGGCGGAAACCCAAACCCCAAATAATTGTCTGAATTTTCTCTTGGAAGATACAAAACAGAAGGCTCTGGTGGGAAGGAAAAGGAGGCAATTTTGGAGGAAGATGATGACCTGTGGGTGAAGATGCGGCACAAGCACATTGCAGATGTGATAGAGTATGTGCATAAATAACAAAGCCAGCTCTTGGTTTCTGTGACAGGGAGGGTGTTAGAGCTGTTCACTGGGAATACAGGCAGTAATGAACATGGTTTACAGATTGGATTCACTTAAGTAATCAATGCCAGGAAGAAATTGTGCTTTAAAAATACAGTATTGTACCAGGTATGCAGTTATACTAATGCTACTTGCAGTTCTTGAGGTAAATGGAAATCAAGTCATTTCCTGGCAAGTATTTTCAAATATTTTAAATCTGAAGGCATTATTTTGCATGTAGTGCTACCAAGCTACTGCATCAAATGATATTATGAAGATATTGCAAATAGAATGTTTAATATTTCCTTTGTAAAAAATCACTCTTTTCTCTGAAGATAGACCTGTATTTCAGGCTTTTACTTTGATTCAGAAATTCTTGTTGCACAGTTCTTTTAAGATTTTAAGAAAAATTTTAAGCACTCATGTGCTGTTGCCTTTCATTATTTTCCTCTTTTCTTCAGGGAGATACCAAAACTTTTGAAAGATGCTTCATCAAAAACAAAAGCAGCAGATGGAAAAGTAAGTTGCTTAAGTTGAGATATTGTTTTGCCTGGTAATTTAGTTATTTTCAACTGATCAGATCCATGTAACTGATGGATCTACTAGAGAAATTAAGACTTTTCTCAACTGGAATTTTCAGGGGTTGTGGGGGAAGCAAGCTGCAACAGGAAGGTAAATAAGCATGTCATTTACTGGGGGAAAAGATTTTCAGCTTGGGTCATTTCTTTCCAGTTATCCATATCTGCTCTGTCCCAGTTAATGAAGAAGATGCCACTCTATCGTAAAGAGATTAGCAAGGTAAGGGGTCTTTTGTAATCACAACTTCACAGTAAATAATTCTGTGCACTTGACTTTGTTTTGTTGAAATGTAGTTTTAATCTGTCATTTTCCTGTAGTGTGCTATATAACTGTTCTCCAAATTAATGTTTTCACCTACTGTAAAATTTAGCAAAGAAAACTTGTTTCCACATATTTCATTTTACCATGTAAAAGAATGCAATAATTTGTCTGCCTTGAGGATTGAAGATATCATAACAGTTTAGTGCTTTACAAAGTTTTATGGGGGTCAGACTCTAAAAAACACAGAAAATGTTTGATGGTACTGAAGGATTGACTCTTGTAACCAGTAAAAATGATGGATATGCTAGGAAAAAATTCAAGCTATGACAGCTTGTGATTTTATTTTCTATTTTTTTTTGTTCTTTCTGTCTTATAGCAAGTTGTTCATCTTAGCATAGCAGAGGATTGCATGAGCAAGTTCAAATCTAACATAGAAAGGCTCTGTAAAACTGAACAGGTATGTTTAAAAAAGCCACAAACCAAAGAGCAACTTTGCAAGTATTGTAAGCACCACTGTTTTTGTTTGCAGGAATAGAAGCTTGTTTTAACTGAATAAACTACAATGTCTCTTGCCTTTATTTTGTGATCAGTTTTTGAGATGGTAGTATTAAAACTAAGTGTAATATACAAGGCTCTAAATCTCCCAATAAGGAGGTGTTCCTAAGAGTCTTGGAGGGTTTTTTGGTCTTGAAGTCTGGCTAATTTGTATAAGGATCACCTTTGTTTTCAAGGCTCAAAATTCCTATGAGATGGCTTTAATATGTTGTGCAGAGGGAAGCCCTTTTTACATGTCTGGGAAAAGCACCTTTTTAGGGTGATGCGTTACATTGTGACTATAATTTACATTTTTAAGAATTCTAGATATCATAGTTAGAAATGTTTAAGAGTGTTATGTAGTGTTATTATAATGCTGTAACTATTGAAATAACTGTCAGACTTGTCATACTGAGTTTAAATTGATGCAGCTTGATTGTTTCCTGAAACCTGTGGTTTCATAAAAATGCCTTTCAAAACACACAGAACAACATTGATTTAAATTATTTCAATTATTTTAACCATGGTGTCTGTTTTTATTTTTTATTAATTTAGGACTTGGCTCTTGGAACTGATGCAGAAGGTGAAAAAGTAAAAGACTCTATGAGGGTCCTACTTCCAGTTCTGCTCAACAAAAGTCATGACAGCTATGACAAAATCAGAGCTATTCTCCTGTATATCTTTAGCACAAATGGTATGAAAGTTGCCCCATTTTTTTCCTCAGTGCTATGAGGAAGTTTGAACTCAAGTTTTAGGATAATACAGTGGTTTTAGTTAACCTAAGTCTCTGCATTGGAGTTGGTAGCTGGATTTGAAAGAAATCCTATCCATCCTCTGTATTCTCTCTCAGATTGGTAGCAAAGATACTACTGGCAAGGAGTTAAGAGATGTAATTCAAGGGTAGATTCATACAGTGTTTTAATGTCATTCTTATCCTTGCGTGTCTGCAATAGTTTGTTCTCTTATTTTCATGTGGTAGTGAAGCTGTCAAAGGGGGAGTTCCATATCTGTGGCAACCTGAAAATTAAGTCAGTGGGGAAAAATTTGTTGTAGAGAAGGAGCAAATTGGCAGAATGTTGGTCTGAGGAATCTGTAACAATACTGAGTTTAGGTCTCAAGAATGGACCATTAAACAAAGTTTTATCTGAAATACAGTATGTTATATATATAGTATATATAAACTCTATAATATATGTAAAACTTAGACTGGTCACACAGAACAAACAAAAAAGTTCTGCACTAAATAGTAGCCTGTGAGACAAAACTGGTCTTACAGTCACTTGGTAATTGTTGTCTCTTTTCCATATATTGAAGGAACTACCCAGGAGAACTTGGACAAGCTGATCCAGAATGTACACATAGAAAGTGATAGTGATATGATAAGAAATTGGAAATACCTTGATGTTCCTGTTATCTCTTCAGTAAGAATGTATTTATTTCTTTTGTGATTTCTTACTAGAAAAGACCTACAGCGCTTTCAGCAACTCTTAGCAATATTATCCAGGTCTGGGTTTGGAAGCAGATAATTGCTAGAAATTTTTTTTTTTTTTTTCCTTTTGTAATGTGTTTAAGTGGTAAATCCTTTGAAAATTATTCATGTTAGTTGTTTAAAGTAAGATACCCATAATGTTCCCTCTGCAGTTATCAGGTGGTGGCTTCAGCTAGTTGATTTTGGGAACTCCCAACTTACTCAGTTCCTTCTCTCTGAAGTTAATATTTCTAATGTATCCTGAATTCTAGAAGTATTAATTATTGTTCTTTATAATTTTTATAATTTATTTAAAATCTCATACTTATCCCTCCTCTTTCTGCTGCTGACTGCTAATTAATTTCAAAAATCCAACCAGTAAATAATACGACCATATTTTGAAAATCTTTTCAGTTTGTTGCTCAGCAGCATAAATACGTAAGAAGGGACCGTTCTAAAGAAGAAACTTTTCAGCTTTCTAGGTGGACTCCTGTTATCAAAGATGTTATGGAGGTAAATTTCACCAACTAATTCATTAATTCATGGGTGCAGTGCAGAAGTTTACTCAAGTGAGCCGTTGTATCATATCTTTTGAATTCAGCAGTGTTTTGAGTTAATTTTGTTAAATACATCTGGTGGGCAAAGTGATCACTTCTAGTCTGTCTGTAATATAGAACATTAGACTGCTGTTAGTAATACTCCTTATTGGGAGTAATTTTAAAGGTGAAGCAAATGAAAGTGAAAGCAAGAAGTCTTTTAGAACAGCTTGTCCTGGGATTGGCAGTGTTTGGTATAATTTAGAGATCTGTATCTTCTTGGTTTTGACTCCAATGGGTCTTTAAACTGCAATTCCAATGTACACTGTAGTGTGGTAGAGCCTGGAAGCTGTTACTTGCTGGAAGTGTAATTTCATTGTTCTTAAACCTCTTCCTAAGCATCAGTCAGTGACTGATGTCACACAGGAAACCAGAGTGTTAGTCTGACCCAGTACTGTCATTCATAAATTCTTGATGGCTTTCTTGTATTCATATAAAAATTAAGTACATTAAGGTTTTTACAGATGAAAAGCTGCTAGTGAAATCTGAACAGTTAAATCAGGATATGTTTATAAAAAAAGCATGTATACTCACAATTCCTTGTCATACACAAAACACTTTTAATATATTTTAGCATTATGTGGTCTAGCATTTTGTTACATAGGAGCGTTATTCATGCGATGCTGCTTGCAATTATTTGTTGGGCTGCATGTGTTGGCATGAAATGCCAGTTAGATATCCTTTCTGAAAGCTGAAACTTGGTGGAGTTAAGTTCTGAATGCCTGTTTCAAGTGTGTCTTTATTTTGCACTTCAGGATGCTATAGAAAACAAATTAGATTCAAAAGACTGGCCTTATTGTTCCCGCTGTCCTCCCACCTGGAATGGCTCAGGAGCAGTAAGGTAAATGGTTTCATTTCCTGAAACACACTTGACCCAGATCTCAGTATTTGTCATTTACTTTCTAAAGCCTTACTGAAGTGTGCTTACTGAACAGTGGAATAACACATGTAAGGTAATGTTCATGTGCCAACCTATATTTTTATTTAATCTAAAACATACTCAACTTGGTTGTTATTTTAATAATTCTTAGTAATGTATAGCTTTTTTTATTTGTAGTATCTTCCTTTTGCTTCAAGTTTAGAAATACCATTTCATATTCCTAGAATGAGAAGTTTAAACCATTGAGTGTGAAGTAGTTTCAGGAATAAATGTTCAGTACTGTAACTTAGGTAAAAAGAATGTTTTACTTCTGCTATGTTAGTGGTGGTGACATTATTTGGGTTAATTACTTCAGGAAATTAATTTAATCTTCTATAGGCTTTCTCATTAGGAAATATGGGCCTGTTAGGTATTTGACCCCTATTGCCAGGGAGTGGTTTAGGCAAGTCCAGGACAGCTGGAGATCTTGAAATGAATTCTCTGCTAATGAATGTGAAATGAGTACTTGCATATTTAATGATTATCTCTGAGAGGTGATTTTTAGAATTTCTTGGGTTTTTTTAGCTCACCTGTACTGTTCCTTCTTTCTCTTTTTAATTCACCTAGCTCTTGAACCTTGTGACCAATACATGCCATTTTGAGAGCTTTATCACTTTTTATAGTGTTATTTAAAAGGGGAGACAAATGAATCAAGACTCCCAAGAGTGTTTCTATCACAGGAATGCTAACTATGAGTGTTCCTCTCTCAGGAATGTTCACTGCACTAATAGGATGCTGGAATTCAGGGAGGGAAACATTAAATATATCCTAAATGTGAAAGACACACTTGAATTGGAATTGGTACCTTTCTAAATAAAAAAACCTGAAAAGTAGAGATACACAGCCTTAGGAAAATAGGTTTTTTACATCCACTTCTAATTAAACTATTTGTGGTGTATCCTTCTATTCCTGGATATGCACTCTAGGATGATCAGTGCCAGGGATCAGAGCAAGTCCCTGCACACTGGAACTTGATCTCTGTTTTACAGGCTGGTGAGATGTGGGAATCTTGAAGGCACTCTAGCAGGGAAAACAGGACTGCAGATGACTTAACCTGTGTATTAGAGTCTAAGCACTTCAGGCTGCTTTTGTTTTTCCTAGGTATCTGAATCTGATTTGATAACAGACAAATGTTTCCTTTAGAGATTCTGTTCGTGTTCAGAGATAGGAAAACCGAAGACAACAGCTTTTTCAAATGAACCTCTCATGAAAAATACCACTGGAATTGGGAGCATGCAGTTAAGCTGCTTGGCAGGAGTCCTTGGCATGTTAGCTGTGTGTGCAACAATGTTTTTGTTTTGTGTTTATTTTCCCCCAGTGATACCTAAACAGTAGGAATAATGTGATAATTTACAAAATTTAATAAAAACAAGTTATCAATTTATCTAAATACTTTTGCTGACATTATAATCAAGCCCTGAACTGCATGACAGAGATTGCTACTGCTTGTGGACTGTGTCATTTTAACCAAAAATTCATCAGGCAAGCTGTGTAAGTGTAATGTCATGAACTCCTTTGCAGCGCACGCCAGAAGCCCCGCGCGAGTCAGAGGGAGGAGCGCAGGAGCAGTGCCAGGCTGATCGTGTTTGTCATTGGCGGCGTCACCTACTCGGAGACGCGCTGTGCCTACCAGGTGTCCGAGGCCTACAAGTCCTGTGAGGTTGTTATTGGTAAGCTTGCCATGGGAAAGGCTGGGGTGTGTGCTGCACTCCTTGTGGTTCTGGAAAATATAACAATCATTTTGCTTAGATCCCTTCTCTTGGTGCACCACACTAATACTACAGCCAGTGTATTTCTTAAAAGCATGCGCTTAAAAGGATCTTTGCAGGGTATCTCAAGTAATTGATGTTTGGAGGGATTTTTTTGCCACAGGACATTAAGGACAAAACAGTTATGCCCTACAGAAGAATTATGTCAGAGACATGTCAGTGTATAGCCTACAGGATTTCATGAGACCTCTATTTTGCATTACAGTTTCCTCACAAACTTTTGCATCTGCCTGTGCTTTACCTTCAGTGGCACTTGCTACTCTAATTGCGTTTGGAAGTAGGGAAGCTGACAGACTAGTGCAAAATTGCTCGCTTTGGAAGAAAAGTATTAAAAAAGCCCAACAATCCTAATCAACATTCCACCCAAAAAACTAAACAAATAAACCCCAAACCCCTTTTTCAGTGTAGTTCAGTTGACTTTGCAATATTTTCTGGTTTCTTTAGTAGCTACTTGGAAGCTTTGCATAAACCACACAATGATTAACCGCTTGGGTCCTGAAAACTCCCCTGCTTAAGATTTGGCAATTGGCAGCTGGTGTAGTAATCTCTCAGCACTTTGGAGGTATTAAGTGCTTGTTCCATCAGCTGCTGTGCTTCAAATGAATTTTAAATAGCATTACAGGAAATAATTAGGTGCTAAAACTTGTACATATATATATATATATAATATATAGGAACAGAGCTCCTAGATACAGAATCTTACCACAGACCTGTGTCCATCTGCAGGGCTGGCTGATGGCTAGGTGCAGGGTCATCTAAAGCATTTGAAATTACTTGAGAGGTCTACATCTGGCATTTAAATTTAGTCTTGAGATTCCAATTGAATTTGTTTACCATCTACCATGATTTTAAATAAATACTCTTCCCTAAGACAATGCCAACCTTGATTCTGAAATCTAGAGTCTGTTACCTCAAAATATTCAGGGCTATTGTATGTGTGTTTGTGTGTGGTTTGTTCTGTTTTAGTTTATTTTTTATTTGCTGGTTTCCCTGGTGGTGGTTGAGGTAGGTTTAGTGCTGGTTCTAGTTCTAAGCAGTAATGGAAAGACCAGGACAACAGGAATGTAGTTTAACCAGATTATTTCTTCATCTGAAACTTGTTTACAATACCATGTTTAGAGTAGGTGACTCTTTCCTGGGGTATCTGGCACTCACCACAGCACCATCTTCCCTTTTGTTTAGAGTTTATTCTTGTGGTTTTGTTTGTAATCCTGATTTCTGAGGGAAGGTGATAGTTGCCAAATTTCCATATGGATTACTGAAAAATTAACATTTGTCTGTGTTCCTGATTCAGAACTCCAGGAATATTAGCCCATTCAGAGTGACACTACTTGCCTTCAGAACTGCAGGGTGACTCTTTGTGCCACAAGTTATAATCACTCTCTGAGAATAAGAGAGGAAGTTGTGCATTGAAGAATAATAAGGATTTTCTTTGCTGCTCAACACTTGAATTTTGTTTTTCCAAGGAAATGTTAGTTAGTAAAAGCCAATTTTCTCCAGCTGGTATTTCTGTGGAACACTACTGTTTGTGATAATCTTGAATCCAGATACTTTACTGATTCTAGGGTAAAGCCTCTCATTAACTCACCCTTTCACAGAAAGGCAGGTTTCTTGCAGGCTGGGACAAGTGCCCAGGTTCAGTCCTGTCTTTCAAACAGGGCAGAGCAGGACCTGAAACTTGTGTTAAAGTATGAGTCCTGATCTGGATGTCTGAGTGTGGGAAGAGGGACATTGCCCACCTAATGATGACACTTACAAATGGTGCTTTACATGAAAACACTTGGAAATGTTGCACTTGTCAGTTTTCCAGGTGCAGTAAAAAACACTGGCATGTAACTGGTGGTTTAAAGAGGGAACGTCTGAAAGTCAGAATTTGACTGATACAGTTCATACTTATGTTCTTTTGTCAGGTTCTACTCATATTTTGACACCTAGAAAACTACTTGAGGATGTGAAGAGCCTTAGCAAACCCAAGGATATGGTCTGCATTAAGGATGAATAGATATGGTGGTGTTTGTGATGCATAAAAACCACAAACAGTATGTACATATTCTAATGGAACTGACTTTTCCAAATACTGCACTTCAATACTACATGTTTCCTAATGGAGGTCATGTTATAATTTAAATTTGCTGCTTTTGGGGGAATAGAAGGCAGAGAGATGAAAAGATAAACATGTTTGTTTCTTAGGGTCTGTTTAGTATTACACTGCAAGTACTTTTTCACAAGGGCATGTTTGTTCCTAACTAATTATGCTAAAAAGTATTGTAATTATATATAAACTGGAATTGTCTTTGAGAACTGTGAAAACTTTCTATAATGGCATTTATTTCTAAAGATGACTGAATTAAAAAGGGCCTAGGCTCTTGGGTAGGGACTTCAAGAGAAAACTTGTAAATATGGGTTTATGGTAAAAATGTTTAATACAAGTTCAGTGTCATAAAGTGTGATGTTTTCTGTAAAAATAACTTGCTGAAAATTCTTTAAATATGTATAATTGTGAAAAATCTAAAGGCTTTTTAGATGGTGCTGGATAAGGTAGATTGTTAATCACAGAATTATTGAGCAGTTCCAATCACAGTAAACAACTTTGGAGAAATGCTGTCAACTGTGCACTGAAGTACACTTTATATTTAAGTATATACAGAAATTATTACTGAAGCTTTTTAAAAATTTAGTTTCTTAGCAAGTTCCTTATGATTGTCTACATAGTCTGTCTGTTTCAGAAGTTGAATTGCCTGTGATACAGAAATTCCAAGATGAAGCATGTCTCTGAGGAAGTGGAGGCATGGGGAAAGGACAGGACAAAAAGGGAAACAGCTCAGTCTTTCAAAGGGTTTGGTAACTTGAAAAAGAAAAGCACGAAGCACACAAAATGACAAAACCTGATGCACTCAAAAGAATTGACTTTTTAAAAATGGTGTTACATATAAAGAAAGAAATACTTAAATTTGCATTGAAGAAAATAAAAAATCAAATTGTATGAATTCTGTAATACTGGTAATGTTTAGATTTCTCTTAAATTACTTAATTAAAATTACTGAACTTTTAACGGGATGTTGTATTTATGTGCCTTGAAATATTAGTTTGTTGTATGTAGAATCCAAGAGAAATGTTATAATGAAAAATAGATTGCTTGTGTCCTTATGTTTACCTTTTCCCAATAATGAGTATTTATTCTTTTTTTGTGATTTTGGGTTTTTTCCCTTTATTTTTGCTCTCAGGTTAACCAGTACTTTAAGAGAACATATTTGTTAGATGAGTTCATTCAGAGTTAATTAAAAGGTGGAAAAAGGTGAAGTTCTCAGAGAGGAATGAAAGGGGAGGACATGACATAATGATTCTAAAATGTTGCAGGACATGGGATGTGATGAGAATAAGTGGCTGTAGCTTTCAAATTTGGAATTGAATCTACACTGAATTTCTTTTCAATAGGACTACAGAAGCAACACTTTTAAATCACCTGGTTCATCAAATGGAATGGGGACATTCCAAACACTAAACTAAATAAAGCAAAACCAGGGATAATAAGGAGAGGCAAATGAAGTTCTAAGGGTATACAGTAAGGCTAAGGAGGAAAAGAGTTGAATGGTATTGTTGGCTGTGAAGGGCGGAAGAAGCCCTGAAAAAAGCCAATGACTCAGGCTAGTGAGCAAGTGGCACATGGCAGTGAGTTTAGCAACCACTGCTTGTATGAACAGTCTGGATTATTGCTGTGTCCTCCACTGATGAAATTGGTCAGGTTTGCCTGAAAATGGCTGTCCTTTTTAAGGAATGTACTGGTATTTCTAATCTGGTTTTCATCAGTCCTTATGTCCTTTGGTTTCAGTGAGTAGCATCCCTGATAAAACAAGGCTGTTAACTGCTTGCCTTTAATCACTGCAGTTAAATGGATGTTAGAATGAAAATAATAGATGACTTTTCTTGGCTCACTGAACTTCTACAGTATTTTAAAATTTTCCAACTTACTTAGCATCAGCTAAAATGTCAAAGCCAGATATATCTGACAAATTAAGGACATCAAATTGAAGGAACCAATTTAATTGTTACTAAATACATAAACAACAAATGGTGTAATTCAGTCATTGCAACGTACAAGGATGTTTCTTAAAAACAATCAACTCTCAATATAGGGCACTCTAAAACTAAAGTAATTGGAAATGTTGACTGTGACTTGGTATGTTAACATGACGTTTGCTCCTAGATGTCTCAGGTACAGAGGCTGTTTTCTCTAGGTGTGATTAAGCAGCTGCTGTTGAAGTGTGAGAAGCAATGATATGTAGTAATGACTGAGATTTATTCTCACACTTGGGACTGGGGAAAATCCAAGTCAGTTAATTTTGCTTGTTTAAGCCAATTTTTATGAAGCTGTCTTAAGTGAGTACTTACAGAAGGTATCTGTACACAGTAATGGATTAGCCAGCCTAATAAAGACTGTCAGTAGAATTAATAATTTGTTTTACAGTTGTAAGACTGAGTGTAAACGTGGAATATCTTTGTGCTCTGGTTTGGTTTAGTACCAATAGGTAGCTGACAAAGTTAGCTAGCTGACTTTTTCATGTTTGTGTTCATCATTTGATTTTTGCAGAGATACTAACACTTCCAGTATGCACCAGCAGAACAACATAGCATTTGAACTAGATAATTAAAACTGTTTTCTTTTAACTTTAGCTAGATCTTCTGAAACTGCTTGTACCATTCGCTCTGTAGCTTCCTTCAAACTGTTTGCTGTCTCTATGGCATGATCCAGAGTAGAACTTAAAACCTGTTGGAAATAATAAAATGTAGCCTTGTTAACAGGGAAGGCAAATGTATACCAGGGTACCGGAAAAAGATGATGTTTAGGTTTTGTCCATGATTGTCACTCTGAATACATGTTGAGAAGTAAAAATTGTCACATGACAGACTGCTCTAGGATTCAAGTTGGAAGTATCTGCTAATCATTTCTCTCTTTGTGTATTCATTTGAACTGAGGGATATTTACACCTTTCTAATGTATCAGCTCCAGTGTGCTGAATGTTTTTGGTACTGAGAAGGTTTTCTTGAGGTTTTGATAGTGGTTTGTCTAGCTAGGCTTTGTTTCAGTATAGGAAACACAATTCTAGAGATAAGATCCAGTGGTATTTTTTTGTCTATTTCACTTTTTATACAGAGACTGAGTTGCACAACAAACCTGTATGTATCTATATGAAGAAATACAGTAATGTATAAGCCAAAATGCTTGGGGTTTGAACTCCTGCTTGTCTTACCCTCAAATGCACTACCTGTGCTTAGATTGTAGGAATCAGCTTGCTAAGAATGGGATGTTCTACAGTGCCATGAGGTATGGAGGTAGTCCTTTCAAGAAAGATGTATGGCTTTTAATTTTCACTCAAAAGTCTTACATTTGCATAGGAATCAGTGGCATTTCTGTCTCTGATGTTGATTGCAGATTTTCTTTGGGCAGATTTCTTACTGGGCGTGTATTGCTGTGAAAGGATAATTTTATCATATGTGCTTGGACAGCAGGTTTTGGCAGCCACAAAGGATTTCCTAAAGATAAGATATGTAAATAAAATACCATTTAAGTAAGAAAAAGAATAATAGTCTAAACTATGAATCACATACATACACCTTGAGAGCACTTGGTTGCAAGTTAATTTTACGGTAAGTAGAATTTTCCATGGAATTGTAAAGCACACTCCATCATTATTTGTATTCTATCTGCATTGCAACAAAACAAAAAATGTTCTAGGATGCAGAGTAAGAAACTTTCTGCTGCTGCTGTAACTTTCTCTCACAGTGTTCTACGCCACTGTGCAGCTCTCAATTGCAGCTGCTGAACTTCCAGGCAATTCCTGCTATTGAGTAAAGCTGTCAAAATACTGTGACAAAACCTGTTTGCATTTCAGTCTAGTCTGCGCTACTGTTAGGAATCCAGTTTGTTTGTCTCATGGTGTAATTTAATATTAAGAACAATTAAAAGTAGGATTATTACTTATAGAGCAATAGTTGGTAGCAAACAGAGCTGCGTTCTAATAATACAGGCCTGCTTTTGAATCTTTGAATGGGAACATCCTCTTAAAGTGAATGCTTTTTTATTATTAAATGTGTCAGCTAAAGAAGTTACATTTTTACTCTTCATTACATTGGGAGTGAAGAACTAATCTAAGAATTGTTTACACATGTTCTTCAAGCAAATATTTTAATTTCATTAAAGAGTGAAATTCTAATATACAACATGTACTGCAAAAGATAAAATATTATTCCTGCTTAAAGATAAAATATTATTCCTGCTTATGATACCTGGTGTTTTTTCCATGCTGAATCTTCAACAATGGGGTTTTCTGTTGTACTACATGGTTATTACTACAGCTTACCTGTCATGAAGTCTGGTTACAACTTCATCTGGCTGACTGGGTTTTTGAGCCTTTTGGGTGGAGACTCTCTTCTGTGAATAAGCTGGAGTTGTTGAGGCCATGTATAAAACAAACAAACAAAAAGGTAATTTTCTGTGTATTTTAATTTTTTTTTCTCTTTAGCATAAATTAAAGACCAAGTAACTATCACTGCTGAATAAAACTTGAATATGTTTAAAGTTTTTTGTAAATGAGGACAGATTAACCTTTTTGTGTTTGCTCTTGAGTTTAGTTGGCAAATGGAATGCAGATTTATATTCAATTTTATGCAGTGAAAGACTGCAGTGGGGAAGTGTAGAATAATCAGTGTCATAATCCTAATAATGAATACTACTTTGATTTGTAGTTTCACAGGCTTGCTAGAGACAAATAGTTAATTTATGCTTTCTTCTTGATGAAATTTTATATTTTTCTTTAAGCAATTTTTCCTTATGCTAGAGAGAATCTAAGTGACTTGAAAAGGTTCATGTTCAGATGATTTATTTTTTTTAAATTAGGCAAGCTCCCCTTGACTTTGCTGCATGTCACACAATATGAGGATAGAGCTGGAATTTTCTTTAGTAGTTGTTTATACTACATTAGGTTAATGGCTGGCACTATAAAAGTTGGTAAAGTAATGCCTAATTTTCATATCCTTTCATGTGGCTCTGCAAAATGAGATATTCCTGCCATAAATGGAAGATGAAAGGGTTTCCGCTCATAAAGAACCAGGGAAAGTTAAATCTGTTGTGCACGGAGATGAAACTTGACTAGGTGTGTAAAAGTTGGATTTACAGTGCTAATGAGTGCTTATCCTAAATTAAACGTGGCCTGGGGTGTGCAGTGTGGCTTTCTGCCCCTGAAAAGCTAGCCTGTGTTTGTTAATTACCCATCACACTTACAGGATGAACCAGAGCTTCTTTTTCTACATAGGGTGCAAGACTGAACAGACTCTTTGTAATTCCTGAGTTTTACTTGATCTCTGCTTCCCCTGGGGCATCTGCATCTAAGTCCTGGAAAACAAGAGATGTGTGCTTTAGAAAAATAAAACTACAAGCAGTGTTTCCTTGTAGATGTTCATATTTTTGCAATCACTGTACCTTGTTTCTCTCCACATAATCTCATATTTAATGATTTGTAATTTAGAGTGCTACAGCTGACGAGGTCCTTGCTTTGTGAATCATTGTAAGAATCACAGGCTGAGAAGTCTTCTGAATCACTGCCTAAAATTCAAAAAATAAGTTAAAAGGGTCTGAAATATGGGAGGCTTTGGCTAATGTGCTCAGGTAATTATTTGGCTTTCAGCACTGTAATTTCAGAGCCTTTTGCTGCCATTAATACTACTGCAATTTGAGGAAGTACTTTTCACCCCCAGGAGAGTGAGGATTGAGTTAAAGATTAGGTTTCAGCCCTGTCTGCAAGCTTTGAATGTAATTTTCTGGTGGCGCTTATTTTCAGACCAAGAATTGTTGGCTTTTTTTTCTTTAATGATGTTCTCCATGTCCTTGTTCACAGTGTTATGGGAACAGTGCAGCATAATAGGAATGGGATGAGAATTTGAGCAGCTCTAGTACGACACTGCTTTAACTATTGCACCAACCAGTACAAACAATAATCCCAGGATGCTATGTTAAATTAAGAGGATATCACAAAAAAGTCAAGGAGAACTGATAGACAAAAGGTAAGAAAACCTGGATATTTAGACTTAAAACTGAATGTAAGACAGCTCATGCTGTTCTCCTTTAGTTGCAAGTTTCTAAAAGCTTCAGAATATTCTGCAGTGGAAAGGTAAAATTGTTTTTAAGCAGAAAAATGAAGTTGACTCCAAAAACTGGAAGTGGAAGTACTGGTATGAACTGTCTCAGTTGTCAAGCTTGGAATCATCTTCTAGAACATTAAATAAATGCAGATCAGAAGAAAAAACAAAATCAAAGCATTGCATGCACATCACTGTCATGCTCTTCAAAGTATTAGCAGTGGCAATATTTGGAAACTTATCTAGGAAGCTGAATTAGATTTATAGAGTAATTCAGGTTGAAAAGGACTTCTGGAGGTCATCTGATTCTCTCCCCTCTCAAAGCAGGCCCAACTTAAAGGAAGTTGCTTAGAACCCTGTCCAGCTGAGTTTGGAATATCTCTGAGAGTGGATATGCCAGAGCCTCCCTAGAGCAAACTGTTTCAATGCTTGAGCAAGTTCAAAATCTTTCATTCATATCTAACTGAAAATTGCACTGCAATGTGTCTGTTGCCTCTTGGTCTGTCACTGAGAATTCCACAGCGAATTCGACCTGGTGTTCTTTTTAGTTTCCTTTTTATTCTTGGTGTTTTGTGCTCTGCTAAGCAGTAACATCTGTTAAAACTACAATGTTCATGTTGAGACATAAAAGGAATGTATTCCCAGGATTCTCTAGCAGGTTTAAGCATGGCTCTGACCTTGATATGCCCTCATGTCTTACTCAGGTTGGTATCTGATAAATCAGTTGGTTTTCTCTGCATGAAGAGTGGAGATGTTCCAGTTTTTCCTTCCTGGATATTTGTATTTCTTTGAGCATGAAAACAGAATATTTTTATTGTATATTAATATTTCTATGATGAGACTTACAAACATCTCTAATACATCATACTAATGATTAATTACTTAACTAAGAATAAATCATATTTATTCACAGAAAGACCTTTACTTGTAGCAGTTATCTGAAAAGGTGGTAAGCAGAAGTTTAATAATTAACTAGTTGAAAAATAATTAACCCTTTAGTTAAAGGACACATTCTGACAAAAGCACCCTGACTTCCCACAAGTGTTAAAAATGCTTAAAAGTAGAGATCTTGATAATCCTGCATTGGAATAATAAAGTAGTGTGAAATCTTAGCTACATCCATCTGTTACCACTAATAGTGTTTTGATACAACATACATTAAATATGATTTAGTATCTTAGTAACTTTGAACTGTTATTAAGGCTTTAATTTAATGCCTTTAGATAATTAGAGGAATATTTGAGATGCACCTTCTGAAAGAAAAAGAACAAGGTTCCTTGTTTGAGTTACCTGATGTGTATTTTTAACTTAGGGTGTACGGGATCACCAAGATTATTTGGAATATTTTCTGCCTGTTCATGAACATAATGATCAGAAGATTGAACTAATAGTCTTTCAATAACAGAGAAAAAAGTGGAAGCTAGGTGAGTTTTACTAGACAACTATTAACACCTACCCTACAAAGTAATCTGACAGAATTAGGTTAATATGAATGTGCTCTATGCTGCATTCTTTTCCCAGAAGCTCTGCTTCTCTGCTGGAACTTCAGTTCTCTTTTTTTAACCTTAGATTGGTTAAGGGGGGACCACTTATTTTATTTTTCTAATCTCATTGAGATGTTTAACATATCAAATGCTTCCCAGGAGGGTGGAGATGGTATTTAGAGTTTTCAGAAGGTTTTGATTGTTAATTATGTAAGGATCTGCATCCCTCCCTTTTCTTGTTTAATTAAAAATACCACACAAATATTGGCAAATTATCTTTTACTGGCACTGTACTCTGACTAGTTATTCACATCCTGAATTTGTGTGGCTGTCATGAATTTTATACAGATGATTTAACTCCTAGGTGCAAATGATGGTGGTGTTTTGGCTTCAGGAAATACTTTCAGACTGAGAAAGGTAGGAAGACCAGGCTAGGAGGAATTCTTGGATATGCAGTTATAGAATTCTGTAGAATTTTTATTCTGGAAATATTCATGTTGCTTTTCAGATTTCAGTCATCCTAATTTTCTTATTCAGCAATTAATTTTATGTATATTTTTAATAAAATTTCAACAGCTGTTTCCAAGTTTTCACTTACATGTGCAGACAAAGATTGCACTTTTTGCCTTCTAAAGAAAGTTGATTTGCTGGAGGGATTACATCAGTTGTCTGACTTCTTTCTCCCTCATACTTCTTGTGAAAAGATGGAGTTTCAGTACCTCTTGTTTGTGGAAGTTCAGCAGTGCTTGAAACTGTGAGGCTCTGTACAAAGTAACAAAGCACAGACACAGGATTATGTGGGCCTTGCATTGCAAGGAATGACTCCTACCAAACAGCATCTCCTCAGGCCCTCTTAGCAATTTTCTCTGAAGCTCAAGTTACCCAAAACATTGGTTACAGAAGCATTTGTTGAGACTTACCTGTAGATTTGTAGAAGACAGTAAGATTTTTTTTTTTGGGGGGGGGAGTGTGTATGTGTATTTATGATCTGGGAGAAAATATTACCACTCTTAGGAGTAAACTCAATTTTCTGTAGTACAATACTGTTTGGTCTTCCAGTAATTCTGCAGCTTAAGATCGTGGACAAAGTAATCTTGGACAAAGTAATTTTTTCTCCCACAAAATGATAGTGATTAATTCCCCAAAACAGCTTTGCAGAAGTTAAATTAGCTACTCATAATTTCTTACTATGAAATAAATGCTTTTGAAACTGGAACTAAGGACATTCAGTATAGTTTTGTTTTTATACTTAGGTTTCTGTTACAGTTAATTACATATTATGAAATTAATATTTCATTAAAAATATTTTCTTTTGAAGTAATGTGCTATCTAAAAGCATCATGCTCTTACTAGAGGAAAACATACAATCACACAATGGCACTTAGGTTCTCAAGACTTGCATCAATACAACAGAATCATTGTAGTGTTTAATAAAATCCGTTACCTCACAGAAAGACTGGGCAGATTCATAGGAAGTCAGTAATGATGACAGGCTGCCTTTGTTGCCTTCCATTTGTTCTTGAATGTCTTCAAGCAGCATGCCAAGTCTGAATATTCCTCCTTCCACCCTTCTAAATCCAATCACAACTGACAGTTACTTGAAACTCTCTAAAGTGATCTTTTATTTCTTACCATGATAACTATAGTGGACATCGCAGTACATTTCCCATAAAATAAAAAAATAATGTATGGAGTTGTCAGAGTACCTTTTAAGTATTTGAATTAATTAAATAGATATCAAATTACAAGTAGGACATATAAAGCCCAAGGTGAATTTTGGCCAAATAACTTACAGCTTACCACATTAAGGTAACATTTTCACTTCAGGAAAACTAATGGATAAATGAAGCAAAATCTGTAAGACAGTCAAAGAAAATAGACTGATGTACTACTTAGCACTTCTCTTCTAACCTCTCAGGATCAAACTCTCCAAGGTTGATAGGCTTGTCCTTGTAGTTCTGCAGGTGTAAGTTGTGGTGCTCTTCTCTAGCTTTTAAATAATTTCTTTCCAAGGCATCAAGGTATCTTTTCAGTTGATTTAATGCCTTCATCAATAAGAAATATTTCAATACAAAATGTCATGATAACATAAGTAGCTGTCACTATGTCTTGCTATGTAAGCCAGATGTCATTTGCAGTGCTATTGGTAAAAATTTTGGTAGTTCTCTGAATTGAAACAGGACTGCATATTTTATATTCACCTAATACTCTGTGCTGCTCTATTATGTCCAAGTAAAATAATAAAAATTATTTCTGAACTGATGCCCTACATGGCAAAATTCCTAACTTATATGGCATCTTTAGGCCTTTTATTAATAGTTTTAAGTCAGAATCCTTAAAAGATTTAAGAATTTGTCCACGTACTGAATACCTTCATTTTTGCTTCCTAATCTCATACCTTCAGTCTGAATTGAGAAGAGTAAATATCCATTTCAGGTAAACATCAAGAATAAGTCTACAGCCATTTCAAGTGTATTTCAGATAGCTCAAAATACATAAATTAATTTACCAGATATTTGTCTTGTAAAAAGAGTGTTTCCTGGATCATATGTTTAGAGAAGTCTTCCACCTTCAAGACAAAATATTAGACTTAATTATTATGTTTAAACCAACTTGCCGAGAGAGTATGGAATTTGAGCATCAGTGCAAAGTGGATATTGAAAGAGAGCTCTTACTTTCTTAGTCAGTTGCTCTGTCTGATCCTTTAGTATTTGAGACATCTTTTCTCCTAGTGTTAGTTCTGGCAGTGAATCAGAAGGATTTAGACACTGTGCTTTTACTTTCCCAGCTGCTGGTAGTGCTGATGCTGCTGTTCCAGGCTGCAGCCCTATGGAATACAAGGGAAGATTGGTGAATTGCAATTTTGGCTCAAAAATGTCATCAAATTACATTAAATAGTCATTTGCATAGCTACTGTAATTTTATTTACTTGCTTTAAGCAAACCATGTGTAGGTTGTACAGGGACAGGAGCACGTAATGTGATGACATCAGGTGGTGTCCCAGTGTGTCCTGAGGAAATGGCAATGTTGGCATTTGCAAAGTCTGACTGAGGAAGTATCTGTTAAAATGAGAACCTTCATTATAGATACAATGTATAGAACACTTATGGAGCTGGACAAAAAACTTTAACTCAAAATACAAAATATTAATGAAATATATATTATATATATTTTCTGAGTTGACAGATGTGTAAAGTGTCTCATTGTATATACTTAAAATATTTCTGTGTTGTGAAAATATAGAGGATTTGTATAAATGGGAAATACAATATGAAGGTGGTGAAATAGTTTTAGGGGGATAGTCATAGTGCTAGAGGTGAAGAAGAATAACTTAAAAAAAAAAGTATTTTGAGAGATTTACCTTAGGATTAAATCTCAGATGGTCAGTGTGATTCTGGATGTCAGCATGCTGTGTCAGCATCTCATTTGCAGCCAGGAAAT